CCCCTTTATTTACCTGTATTGTTCTTTCCCATTGTGTACAGGTGCTATTAGGGAAGGACGCTGGCTAAAAGACCAGTTGTTTAACAAAGAGTTAACCATTGATTCGATAAATAGATGACCTCTTACAAACTGACCACATGTTTCACATTGGCAGTAGCACAAGGCGATGATAGGTTGTATTAACTTCTGCCTAATCCATTGTCTGTCTTTTGGCAATAAGAGGGAGAAGGATGAAAGAGGGAGAAAATCAGTTAAAGTCAAAATCTGGTCCAAATAAAGTCTTATGAGGATGTTTTAAGGTCGCCATCGTGATCTCATTGAGAAATATTCTATTTCTTTGTGCGACATGAAGCTGGACGTATTTGATGATCGTTAGTTTGCACGTGGGTTCCGTTGTTGTATACCTTATTTTCGTTTGAGAACGTGACATTACTTACTTCTATTGACCAACGTTTACATGGCCGGTGTCGTCGATGAAGCTTAAGACGCTTACTCTTCCAGCGCGCTTAACAAACTCCTAAACCTACGACCCCTCCGAATTGTCACTGGCTGAGTATGTGACCGACATATCCCCCTGTCACTAATTATACCTCCTGTTCTGCTTGCCGTGTTTTAGGTACGTCCTCCTATGTGATTCTACTGACAGGTTGGTTTTGACGACGTCATTGATGGTTTTAGCAATGGTAAAGTACATATTTCGACTGACGGGTTGGTTTTGGCTGTTTGCTGCTGTTTTGCTGCTGTTTTGCTGTTGTTTGTCTTATCATCCACTCCTAAGAATTGTCATTTAATCAATTCAAAATAAACTTTACATCAAAATAAACAGAATGTGCAGTTTTGTTTAATCTTAATATTGCAAAGATTTTATTAGTCGGCGTATTTGTTTACCTGGTATTTCATATTGCATGTTTTCACTGTGGGTAATAATTTCTGAGAAATGTTTCGATATCTAATAGCTCTTCCTGGCTTATTAGTCATGTTATTTATCTAAAACCAAAACATGAAATTCTTGTTCACTTAAATGGCTATATCTCTACTGCAAATAGAGAAAAGGACATTATGTTTAAACTGACCAGAGAATGGTTTCAATGTAGATTCCTGCATACATTCGAAAGGTTGGTTTTTGCTTTTTAAATTTTGTAGAAACTTAAACAAATGAAACAAGATCAATATTACCTCATACACATAGTTATTGAACAAGTGAATTTTTTTTATTTGGTATATTATTTAGACATCAGTAGAAGAAATAATACTTTCTACACAACGTACACGAGAACCCATTGCATATTGTTCTGAAAATTTTGGTATTATTTTCAGTATGAATAAAAAGAGGCAATATTATTACAAATTCAGCATTATTTACAGACAATCGCTGATTTTGTAAATATAGCTCATGTAATGAAGAGAATATCCGGATTTCTTCCGGCACCTTGCGTTTTTAGTGGCGCCATGCCCAGAGCAGTGTATACAAGATTGCGGAGACGAAATAGTCCTGACTCATCGTTTCAAAATCGAAGCACTGAAAATTCACTTAAATATTTTCTACACAAAACTGATTGTTTTGGATTTTTTTTATTGATAATGTAACAGCAGAATGTTTGATTATGTTTACAATTACCCAAAAGGGATAGGAAAATATCTATCGCATGACCGTTTGATTTGTGATAGGAACACTTGTGACAATTTTGTCCATTTCGAAATGGTCTTACTAAGAAAGTAATATTCTTTGTACAAAACATTAGTGATGAATAAACAGTAAGATTTTACATCATCAGCATGAATTCTTCCATAATTCATTCGCAAGGATTGAAGGGCATTTTCCGTAAAATGTATAAATTCGGGTACGCTATCAAATTAACGTTAAGTATCCAATTTTCACTTCTGGATTCCAAATTATTCTATTGACTTGTCCATGAAAACTGCGCTGCGGAATCGGGCAGTACGGATTACGACATTACAGTATCGGCAGGTAGAAAAGTCTGTATTGCTTTGGAGTCGAACGATAACCGACAGCAGAACCTAGGTAATGAAAAGGTACAATAGCTTCCCGGAATGATCGGAACTCTACCTAACTACCGTTTCACAACACTACCAGCAATAAAATCGATCACGATTTCAAAAACAGTATGGTGAAGTAAGGCAAAATAACAATGGAAAGCATCAATACCATACAATTTTGACGCTTGACTGATCTTGTATGACCTGGAGCAGGTCCTCATCTTCACTAGTCCGGGACTGGTTTTTGACTATAGAAATCTGGGAGTGATCCTCAGCTGTAGTAACCAAGGTTTGGTCCTCGACAGTAGTAGTCCGAGGTTGGTTCTCAACTGTAGACATCTGGGGCTGATCCTCAACTGTAGTAGTCTGGGGCTGGTCCTCAACTGTGGCAGTTTGGGGCCGGTCCTCACCTTTAGTCAACTGAAACTGATCCCCGACTGTGGTAGTCAGTGATTTGTCCTCAACAGTAGTACCCTGGTACTGGTTCTCAGTTGCAGTCATATGGGGCTGGCCCTCCATTATAGTAACTAGGGACTTGTCATCGACTATAGTAGACCGGGGCTGGTCCTCGACTATAGTAATATGGGGCTGGTCCTCAATTGCAGTCACCAGAGGCTTGTCCTCGACAGTTGTTGTCTCCAGGGGTTTGTCCTCAACTATAGTAGCTTAGGGCTGGTCCTCAGCTATGGTAACCAGAGGCTGGTTCTCAACTGTAGTAACCAGTAGCTGGTCATTGATTGATGTAACCTGGGACTGGTCCCCAACTGTACTAGCATGGGACTGGTCCTCGACTGTAGTAGCATGGGCCTGGTCCTGGACTGTAGTAGCATGGGACCGGTCATCGACTGCAGTAGTCTGGGGCTAGTCATCGACTATAGTAATCTTGGGCTGGACCTAACATGTAGAAACCAGTACTCTGTGGCTGGGCCTCAACTGTAGTAACCACGGGCCAGTCCTCAATAGTAGTAATCTCGGACTGGTCCTCAAGCTTAGTAGCCTGGAGGCCGGTACTCAACTGCAGCTGACAGGAGTTGGTCCTCACCTGTAATAATCAGGTGCAGGTCCTCGGCTGTAGTAGCCTTGGACTGTCCTCAGCGACAGTATTCTGGCGCTGATGCCAGGCTGTTATCAGTATAACTATAAATAGCGTCGCTATTGAATTTCCAAATCGAAGCAGAGAGAGAAAACACACAGGGCATTAGCTTATAAATATCAAACTAAAAGGTCTGTAAAGGTTTGTGAGGCTAATGAATTTCTTTTGCTTTGAAATGAACCCAAAATGTCTGGTTACGTTACGTTTTTTTTTTTTATCCACCACATCCATACGTTTCTACCAATTTTAAGATAACATCAGCTGTTTCTCTAAAATATCAAAGTCAGTAAAAATGAAAATATCACAGCATGATAAATGTGAATATTGACATCAAATTATAATTTTAGTGCCAGAAATTTTCGGTCTAGGAAACCCACAGTGACAAATCGGGATTATAGAAAGTTGGAACATTTGGTTAAAATGAATAGAAATGTGTGAGCAGTTTTACTAACAAATTTAGTGATAATAGAGAACGATTTCATTACACGTACCTTGTACTCTCATATTGACAAACATAGCTACAAGTAGTAAGGTAGGAAAAACCGCTTGGCTAGATGTGGTGAAATGAGGAGACTCACTTTTGGGGAAAAAAGACGAATGGAAAATGATAAGGCATGATTCTCGTACATATGTTCGGAGGAAAAGGGTCGAACGATGGAGATCAAACTTGTGTGTCGGCGTCGTACAATAGGGGTGCATGGTGTCGGTATTTTCATGGCAGTTAATGATAACATAGATACTGTAAAGAAACAAGAATTTCTTTAAAGTAAATTTGTAGCCAGTGTTAGCCGCCATTTTCGTATATCAAAATGTATATTTCTGGACGACAATGTCTCTGTTCCCCGTGCACATTCTACCCATATTAAACATTAACATAATCGAAATATGATTATTGGTGAAAAGAAAACTTCAGGCACGTGTTAGGAGGATCGGGAGTAAGGACGACCTTTTCCCGAGCATTTGGACGGAGATTAATCCCGTGGAAAATTCTTTTATTGATCAATTCACAAGAGATATTAAGTGTTATCCGACTGAAAGGACATCTCACGAATTATTCACTAGGTTGTTATTTATTGTGTTTAGTTCTAAATTGTTTTGAACAACTCTGCCGTAAGCCATTAAAGCACGACGTCATCTTGTCCAAATACATATTGTACAACACTACTTAATTAGATATACGAAGTCGCCCTTGTTATTTCTTACATCACACGTAATATATCATGTAAATTGTACTACAGTATATAAGCTTTAAGGAACGCGCACTACAAAACTTGGATGGCATCTAGCAATGCGTTGGTATATCAAATTACAAGCTTATCAGAAGTCCGTAACCTCCCATTGGACAAGTGTTTCATGCATATGTATCAATGTTTTATTTTGTATTAATACAAATGATAGATATAGAAAAAATCATATTTTTTATGAATAAATGATAAGAGGGAAATTTTAGTGATTTTAAAGTGTGTCATCATTGAAGCGACAAAATTCAGTCCTTCTTCAATCAAAAACCTTTCCACTTTTCGCTTAAATATACAAGATATTGAACAATTTCTGCATTGGCCACGTCTCTGTGTTATATAATATATGTAAATCTAATCTAGTGTTGGTATACCACTTACACTGTCGTTATCAGTTCGGAGACTTTGTTATTATACTATAATCAGACTGTTTATTATGGCAATATGATGATTTATCGACCCGAGAAAGTGATATGTTTCGAGGCTGAAGAAACTACCACTTTTTGGATTCATATATCATCGTATTCACCCAAAAATGGTTGATAACTGTTTCATTATAGTGACACTTCCTAAACATTTTTATATTACAAAGTGATCAGTGGATAGAAAGACAGTTTAGTGACCAACAGGAAAAGAGGTCGGAATACACAAAAAAATAAGATAAAACTGCAAACATAGTGGATGGTTTAATATTGTTTAAAACTCAGAATATTAATATGCAAATTATATCAAGGCAGGACGTTGTACAACATCATTCCATCTGGTTAAGATTATAGTCTGATCATTTAACAACAAATATAGGGAATACCTGTCACTGTCCGTGTTCCACCTGGTCATGTTTGATTGTCATATCAACCAGGAACACTGATTTAGAAGGTGAGAATATATAAAAACACAGGCATGCAATGGAATTCCATAATTCTCATTACATAAGTAAAACAGGGTGTTTATATGATATACATGGTATTATGCAGATGTTTAAATGTGTATTAGTGTATGTCAGTAAATAAAATTATATGTCGATTTATTTGAAATCAATCATGTGACCGATTCTTAAACTTAAAGTTGGTTATATCTTGAATGGTTGCTTCACAACCAAGCGCTCGTGTTTCCTTACACAGAGAGCTAAAGTTAAAATCACAAATGAGCATGATGTAACTACAATGTAAAACATTAATTTGACGATTCCGTTTATTAACTTCTAGCTTTACTGGTTTGAAGTTAATTCCCCGCGGTCCTGACTTTTCTCCGCCTCTGATATCTGTCTTACATTGTGTTTACTACTTCTAATTGACATTTTTATTAGTCAACGATGAAAGAACAATAAAATACCCGCATTATACAAGTGTATATATAAGTATTTATCAGTGTAGACAAGTTGATCGGAAATTAAAATAATTTGCTATTATCACGCACTGGGTCCCTCTTCTCAGTCCCATAGGGATCACATCCTCTATTTATACTAAAAAGGCCCCTTACCCCAAGCATGCTTCTAACCCATATATATGTATATGTATAATATTTTGTTTTCCTACAGAAGAAGAAGGATTTGAATTTGGTTAGTATTATCTGTTGGGCCCCGCCACTAAGCACCCTACGGGATTGTTCACTTCCCCTGAAGCTTCCAATCAAATATCAGTAATATCCAATGCATAGTTGCAAAGATATAATCGTTTATAGCAATATAGCCAAATTTCACCTACGCTATGCTTCAAAATATATGTTTATAGCAAAATAGTACATTAAGGATGTTTAACGAAACATCTGTTCGGTACATCGAACGAAATACAAGGCAAACAAGTTCTATTGCATGTGTTACATCTCCGATCTATGATAACAATGTCTTCTTTATCCTCTAATCATGTTCCACCATGTGATTCACAAGCTGAACGATTTCTGGGAACTCTTGTTTACAGAGGCTACACTGAAATGGCGCTACCGTGCCACTTGGCAGGACGATTATTACCTGTCTGCCGTCCGGTCCTTGTGAAACAGTGGATTGATTCGGTTCTGCAGACATCTGTTTGCCAGCCTCTTGATACTGAATTGACGAAATGGCTGTTGCTATGGCATGAGCTGTTCGCGAGTACTCTGTGTCGTCGGTGGTGGCTGATTGGGCAGGTGTAGTCTTGCCGGTTACCGCAGTTTCACCATTAACATACCTTTGTGTTTCTCCTTCATGTTCTTCCTCGATACTTTCATGACTTAATAAATGCCTTTCAAAGGCCTTCTGTTGACGAAAGGTCCTAGTACACTTCGGACATCGATAGATCCGTCTCAAACCTTGATCGTGTCTTTTCAAATGTTTCTTCAAGTTATGACGCTGATTGAAACTTTTGTTGCATATTTCGCATTGGAACGGTTTAACTGAAGAGTGTATTTTTGCGTGTACAGCAAGGTCGTCTGTGCGACGAAATGCCTTATTACAAACATTACATTTGTGGGGTCGCTCTCCGGTGTGGATTCTCTGGTGGCGCTTATAGTTGGAGTAGGAAGTGAAATACTTGGAGCATGAATCACATTTAAACTTCTCAAGAGTGCTACTGTCGGTCTCGTGTATGCGTCTGATATGCGTGAAAAGGTAGTTTCTACAAGCGAAAGATTTCCCACACACGTGACAAACATTGTTGGACTGACTGTTGTGGACTTCTCTATGTCTATTCAAATTGCTTACCGAGAAGTAGGAGGCGCTACATATTTCGCAAACGTAATTTTTAATTCCGGCGTGAACACGTGCGTGAAGTTTTAAGTCACAACGGCGGCTGAATTTTTTCGAGCATTCTGGACATTGCAGGTTTTTCCCAAGGAGCTTCGTCGGTGTTTTCTTCTGCTGTTTGATTTTCTTCTGATATGTAGTCTTTCTTTTGTCGAGAGTCACCTTACTTGACAAAGTTTCCTCGCAAATGTCATTCTCGTGGCGCTTGAGATTACCACTGCTGGCGAATACCTTGTAGCAGAATCTACATTGAAAACGAACATTCAAATCTTCAGCATACTCTTCAGGTTCTAATTTAGGTAGTACAGGTAGTATATCAGTGCCTAGTTCAGGTACTGACGTAATTGATTCTCCTTGCCCGTCACTCGTTTCCTCATATGTACTATCTTTAGATTGCAATGCATCCTGGAATGATTTCTCTAAACTTTTTTCCTCTGTATCTTCCAGTTGCGTTATTAATGCCTGGTCGTTGTCGTTATCCCGTTTAATATCACTCAAATGACCGCTCTTCTCTTCTTCTCTGTTATCCGTTAAACTGCATTCTGCTACCTCTGATAAGTGATACTCTAACTTGTGTTTCTCAAACCAGTATTTGGACTTCATTGTTATGCCACATAATTTGCACATGAACTGCCCCCTGTGTACACGACTGCAGTGGTCATGGTACTGTGTTTTGCTGACGAAGGATTTGTCACACATGTCGCAAGGAGTATCAGTGTTTAGGTCGTGACTCTGCGTGTGCTCGGTAAGTTTATATGGTGTAGAAAACCCAATGCCACATGTTGTACAAACATGCTTGCACTGTTTATAGTGTGTTTTTATGTGACTTTGGAGGTCGTCTGCTCTATAGAAAGACATAGCACAAATATTGCAACCAAATTCTCGGTTCCCTGAATGTTTTCTCATATGTCGACGAAAATTTGATGGGTTGTATTTGATGTTTAGACCACAGATATGGCATTTATGGGGTTCCTGTCCGAGGTGTAATTTCATATGGTCATTCAGGTATCGGCTACGCTTAAATGTCTTACTGCAGATTTTGCACTGCGTGTTTTTTTCACTTACATGATCCAACATGTGCTTTTTGAAAGAACTTTTGTTTGAAAATACATTCAAGCAAATTTTACATAATAATTCATTTTCTTCCATTTTGTCATGTGTAAGCTTTTTAGCAGATGGTCGAGGTGTGCGAGCGCTTCGTCTGGTAGGCGTTGGCGAGTCACCCATATCTGTCACTTCCTTTTCTAACTCCAAGATCCTCCCGGACTTGGAAGTGGGGGATGTGCTGAAGTCGAGGTGTACGTGTCGCAGTACGTCTTGATCTGTAAATATTCCTTTATCATTCTTTGTTGCACTTTCGGTAACATCCGTTTCCTCGCAGTCTATGTCCATCTCATTTTGATGAGGTACATTCGACTTGCTGCTAGGAATGCGTTCTTTTTCGTGCTTCTCTAAATCACTTTCAGTTGAAAACTTCTTCACACACTGATTGCAGTTCTGTTCTTCAACTTCGGCATGGGATAACACGTGACGTTTAAAGACTTCCTCGTCTTCCCTTAGAACTTCTCCACACACGTAACACACCTTGTGCACAGTATTATGAATCTGAAAATGTTCGTGAAACTGCTGCGCACAGTAGAATCTTTTCGTACATTCTGTACATCTATGATGTTGTTCAGCAGAAGTTATTGCCATATGCTGGTTCAAAACTTTCTGTGAAACGAAGCAACTTTGGCAGAATCCACATTTGAAAATTTGCGGATGGTCATGTGTCTGGGTAACTGGTGGACTGACTTTCTCTGGTGTGAGGTTCTCCTCGTTACCTTTTTCTGACTGATCACGTGAGCAGGAAAGGCTTTTACAGTGATGTTTCTTTAAAAACGTGCTAGACATGAAGAAGTTGGCACATTTTCCACACTTAAATCCTCGTCGATGATTCACATGAAAATCTTTGTGTCTTTTCAAGCTTTGCATACTTAAGAAGACCTTGGCACATATATTGCATTGGAACTTTCTTTTTCTCTTGGCTCCCATCTTAATGCGATGTCCCTTTAAACAAACAAGCACATGTGATGTATCATCTGTAAATCGATCATATACTATACTGTATTGTTGTATCATTTACAGCTTATACCGCGCAGTGTTCCCGCTGAATTTCAGATCTGGAAGTATATATTACAGATTTTGTTTTTAAATTTTCTACGCCATTATAACGTTCTAAATAGGAAAATCCAAGAAATTTGAGTGAACATGCACCTATTTTACAATCTAGGTTCCTTTTGCTGCTGTTTATGGGTAGCTGTCCATTTCCGCATTTTCTACATAAAATTCACCTTTCTTCTCAACTGGTCAATTTACAAAAACATTACCTATGAAAATTTTGTTCTTATTCTAATAAACTCAATTGCTTTCATGCTCATTTTGTGATAAAAAAAAATACCACCAAATGGTCCTGCCTGTAATGCACCATTTTGTTTCTATTTCTGGACATAAATATCCATTTACCCTCAGCATGTACTACCCAAGCAGTTCCGGTTGTTTCATGCACCTCTGATTAGGCTTATCCAAATTTGCTCAATTGCTAAGTCTAAGTGTCACTACATATACTCTACTGTCGTTACACACCGTCTGTACCACTACACACCGTCTGTACCACTACACACCGTCTGTACCACTACACACTGTCTGTACTACTAAAGTCTGGATCACTATCTCCCTTTATCACTACACACTGTCTGTACCATTATCTCTCTTTATCACTACACACTGTCTGTACCACTAAAGTCTAGGTCACTATCTCACTTTATCACTACACATTGTCTGTACCACTGAAGTCTGGGTCATTATCTCTATAATTACACACTGTCTGTACCACTACACACTGTCTGTACTTCTAAAGTCTGGGTCACTATCTCTCTTTATCACTACACACTGTCTGTACCACTACACAGTCTGTATCACTATCTCTCTTTATCACTACACACTGTCTGTACCACTAAAGTCTGGGTCATTATCTCTATAATTACACACTGTCTGTACCACTACACACTGTCTGTACTTCTAAAGTCTGGGTCACTATCTCTCTTTATCACTACACACTGTCTGTACCACTACACAGTCTTTATCATTATATCTCTTTATCACTACACACTGTCTTTACCACTGAAGTCTGGGTCACTATCTCTCTTTATCACTGTCTGTGCAACTACACAGTCTGTATCACCATCTCTCTTTATCACTACACACTGTCTGTACTACTAGAGTCTGGCTCGCTATCTCTCTTTTTCACTACACACCGTCTTTACCACTGAAGTCTGGGTCACTATCTCTCTTTATCACTACACACTGTCTGGACTACTAAAGTCTGTATCGCCATCTCTCTTTATCACTACACACTGTCTGTACTACTAGAGTCTGGGTCATTATCTCTCTTTTCCACTACACACCGCCTGTACCACTACACACTGTCTGTACCACTACACACTGTATGTACCACCACAGACTGTCTGTTCCATTACACAATGTACGTACCACCACAGACTGTCTGTTCCATTACACAATGTACGTACCACCACACACTGTCTAGCACTATAAAGTCAGTATCATTAAATTCTCTACACTGTCTGCATCACTACATGTAATTGGGTCATTTAATTTGAATATACAGTTGTCAATTTGTTTGTGCCCAGATTGTGCATAAAAAAGATAAGCGTGTATTATAGTATTATAATTTACAGTGGGTGATAATTGGGTTACCTACATGTATGATTACTTTTTCCTGAAGATCTATTTTGACGTCACATGACTTACACGTGATATTTATAAGTTCTAATGGTTAAGATTAAATAAAAGCTTTTGGTTAGTTTCCAGGAATATTACTTTTAAGTATGACAGTTTTTTAAAGTCTAAGTAATTTTTTAAAGATCCCGATCCCATGCTGACCAAGTTCACGTAAGTTCTCTTTTTGTAATTATTATTTGTTCATTTATCTAACTATGTAGTATATAATTCTTCTTTATACAAACCTCCATTTTAAGTTGTAACTTGGATTGTATAAGTAGTAGTATTTTTTGTATTTGTTTCAATTTTAATACAAATGTATAATGGTTCGATTATCTTGATCAGAAAAGTGAGAGAAAGTGTTTTTACTTTCGAGCAGTCTATATCTGTTAAATGGAGTACCGATGTATGGGACCATTGTTACAGCTCTCTGTCATACACATGTGAATACCTTAAACATGTATATCTATTAGAGTTTTTCGGGGGGAGGGGGTTGTTGTTTTTTTTTCAATACATGGAAGAAACCAGAGTATTTATACTTGTAATAATGTAGGTCTTTGTAGATGATTTGGAGAAAAGAAGATCTTTTGTAAATCAGTTCTATATGTAGTACATGTATTTTTCTCTATGGACTATTTTTTTACAGTATTTTTTTTATATGTTTGACTGATGTACATGTTGACCGTGTTGACTTAGATAGGGTGCCGGTTTGTCCTGTTATCTTATATACTAATCACCTTGATCCATGGCCACTGTCTGTCCGTGTGACACTGTTTGTGTTTAATACCCCATAGTTCAAGAGGTATTAAAGTGCCTCTTACTTCACTCACTTCCACTGTGATTACGCCTGTAGGATTGTACATGGTTATAAGAGAGGGGTTTTACCCTATCTCGGCGAGAGTGGCGGTGACTACTGGTCATATTTACTGTTACGATTACCCTACATAAACTAAGGACTGGTGTTGAATTGTATTTGCTCGACGATCCACGCTAACTTGATCTAAATTTGTGCATTGAGGCAGGTGCCTGACGCTACCTTGTAGAACCGTTACCGAGGGATTCACGGGCAGTACATTTTGAGATCGTTCCGCGTTACAATTAGATGCAGCGGTGGGATTTTTCGCTTCACATATAACTTTATTATGTTATAATTCATTAAATGTATTGTTTCGGATAATTGCACATGTGCAATAGTAATCATTACGAAGTTAACATATATATTTCCGTGAAACTAGTTATATGATTTATTTCTGTTTCTTTCAACCTGTGTATATGTGAATATGTTTTGTGTAACTGTATTGTGCGATGTTTGCTTCAGGGTGTCCATACAGTAATATACTGTAATACCTGTTCATACAGGTAGGTTTTAACCACACGAAATAAAAAAATCGGTGAATTTAAAACAACAACTTGGTGGTTTATTTACATGATCACACACACACTATTTGTGTCGCTATATACTGTCGTTGTATCTACATGTACATTTAAATGCTGTATAACTATACCTAGTCTGTGTCATCCTTATTTCATACTGCATATCAATCGTAATGATTAAACACTGTCTGTTTCAATGTCTGAAACTCTGAAAACTAATTTTACAATGACACGTCGACTCACTACACACCGTCTTTATCACTACACATAGTCTCTATCGATTGTCTCTATCACTACAGTCTCAATCACTACAAATTCCTCTATCAGCACTGTCTGTGCCTACTGTTATTTTATCTACCTCACCACATTTTCTGTTACTACAAACAGGGACGTATTGTTCGTCACTACACATCGTATCAAACATTGCAATGGTGGTGTGCTACCTAAATTTTCTGTTAGTTTATAAACATGGAGTACTCTCTCTTCGCTCGATACGCTACTATTTCTACGCATTTAAATTTCTACAATATTGCCCACGTTTGTGAGGGATACGACCTAAAATTGAATCTTGTACATGCTATGTAAATAAATAAAACCATTAGCGAATGTTGTATGTGTTTGTCTGATTTTCGCTACATAATGTGGCTTCAAACAGAAACAAGAAAGCGGATTCAATGATATGACCTACTTTCATTGCCAAACACAGTACGGATTATGAACCTCTATCTCAGTACTAACTTACCGGTTTCCAGTAGAAACTGTATCGATATGTGACTACTCGGTGTGGTTATTTCTTCGTGTGTTGCAATTTCTAACCTCGTTGCCCAGCTTACCAATCAATCATAATGGATATCGTTGATAAAACCAACGCCAAGACGGAACGGATTTCCTTTTTCTACCTAACGTAAGAGACGGAGACGGACAGGACAAACCGGATCTAGTAGTGACTGCACCTGTGCGTGTCGAATCAGACCCACATGAACTGCTTTTATGAACAGTATTTTTTTTTTTTTTTCAAACCACAAAGAAAAAAATCGCTTCTACCTAAATGCTATTGGCCTTGTTACAGTTACTGAACGTAATGCGAAATGACTCTGAACTTGAAGATCAAATTTTAAAAGTCTGTTAAATATATAGCCGCGTGCTAATGCTAAGCAAATCTAAAGCGGTCTATAATCTTAAATTCGACACTGTCAAAATGAGAAATAAAAATTTATTATAACAAATATCAATATATTATCCGTCACACAATACTATGAATATAGATATTAAAGTCTTTTATATCAATATTTATCAGGAAAATATAGTGTACGTATATTTTCGTCAAGTTTACGCGATATATATATGTGTGTGTATATCTAGTTCCATCAGAACGGAAATTTTATTCCCATTACTTCTGTAATACTCTAATTTTTCTATCAGTTTGTAAACAAAAGATATATACTCCGGTAAACCGTAAGTGTTGTGTTTATTACACGGGCGACCCAGCCGTACATATCCGAACCTGTCACGTGTATACCCATATACAGGACACGCATGATATGCACACGATGTATGTACAACGTGCCTACAAAGTTTTTGGTGTGTTGTGCGTTACCATAACAGTATGTCAAATAGCTATCATAACCACTTATTTTTTTCTTATTATCGTGAAATTTAAACAATTGGTGACATTGTTAGTATATGTAAAGGTAGTATGTACAATGTATATATATATAGAGTAACGTACAGTTAAATGGAATGAAATTAACAGAATCAGAAAATACGGATATGCTAGCACATGTGATACACCATGATGAAGAAAAAAATGGGTATAACCGCACCAACTTCACATAATACCTATAGGAACATTAATTATTTGTGAACTTTGATTTCCATTTTATATCGTCTTTAGTAAACATCTTACCAAGTTATTGTTTGCTCAGCGTTTGTCAGCAAATGTTTAACATGTCATAATTCTTGTTTAGGGGATCGTGACAAGAATCTAAATGGGGAATTTTACCCAAAAACTAACCTGAAGCAATTATAAAAGAGTGTTCCATCGCTGGTTGGCACCAGGACCAGTCTTTCTCAGATCGGGTCAAAATCTGTGTACAAAATGTAAAATTACAATAATAATACAATTCCTCATACAGATAAATGTAACCACATTTTGGTCTAGACAGACAATTTGTTTACCATAGTTCTAGCTAGTAAGACGAATATTTGTCATTGCCTGCGCATGATTCTGTTTCAATCAAACCTTTCCAGATGTCGGCCTAAAACGGTGATATTACGTCAAAGAGTCCGTATGGTTTGTTTCCTTGTGTAAATTTCAAATTAATATAGAACGCATTTACTATCTGCGTTTTTTTCGCACTGTCTATCAAATTGGTAACCTTATAACTAAAACACATACTATAACTAAACGGTTTTATTCTACATACTTTTATGTTTGAATAAACACGACTTCCTCTCGAGGGATCACAATACTGTCTTGCATGAAAATTTAACAAGACATAAAATATGTACACTTTACACAGAAAGCTCTTTATCAAGATTGTACTTCGGCTGTAGGTTAAATATGCAAGCAAATGAACAAGCTATGTTTAAGAATGATAAACGATACACGTATACATAATTAACCGATAAGTCGTTCACTCTGAGGGAAACAGTATCATGCCGCACTATTCAACCAATCCACCCGTCCTGTTCTAGAACTCTTGTTTGTATGTGATAAAGCAATGGTGTCGTAGATAGCGCGCTCCCTGATAAAAGACAAAACTTATCGTTTGTATGAATGTATCGGTTTCTGTTTTTCATAGAAAAATAACGCTGTTCTGCAGGTATTAATCGGAACTCAATCGACTTTTGATTAATTTTTTGTCAAGTTTATAATTTGACGACACTGCACTGATTGTTCTTTGTTTGCTTGGTTTATCAAGCGTTGATAGTTAGGGTCATTAAGGGCGAAGTCTTCTTGTAGTAAGTGGTGACTGAACAGTATGCAGGAGGCCCTTCACACCACGACACAACAGGGCGACTCTTTTTCCTGGCATCCTAAGAAACACAAATCATTTCAAGGATTGCATCACACGGCAGAATTCTCTACCGGTTGAATATAACTGCTTCCGACTGGGAAACAGACAGACATGAAATACGGAATTTTGATGCGTTCTATTATTTAAATTGCATTCTCCAAGACCCGAAACCAAAATGTGCCGATTAGTAATGCTGACCAATGAGTTTAATTGACGAGCACTATTTCTCTTTCAGATGCATCATTAAATCATCGTTTAAGTAGAAAAGGAAATAAAGAAGTTGACCAATACTTGTTTTAATGGAGTTGCTAGTCTACAATCAATCTTTTTCTGTTGCTAAAACATGATGAGAAATATTTGGTGGTTAAGAATGCAATGTATACGTCAATTTTTACATCGCACTGAAATGTAAGTTCAGTGATGGTACCAGAAATACAAGTGAATAGCACCTTTCAATATCTATTAAGATTTAGATTATGTACAGTATATCCAAATACGGATGTGGTAACGCACAACACACAAAAATCTTCTTCCGCACTAACGCACTACACAGTATCTAACGCACAACTGTGCAATAGGGGATAGCGCATTTTGTGCGATTTGTTGAAAATGGTTGGCTAATTACAGATTGAGAATTAAACCGAAAAGTCGTGCAGTCATGTCACAGGCGTGTTACAATTTGCTTTCGAAATAACCATAGACCCTGCATAAATTAGTATTTCTGTCGTATAGTTTAACACCTCAGAGAGTGTCGAGTGGTGTACCTTGGACAACAGAAAATAACTGTTATCTATGTGACAGGTTCGGATTCGTACCGGTTAACTGATGAAAATTGAAAAAAGAATTAAAAAACCAAAGACGATGTCATTTAAAGTTTAGATATAGTATAGATATAGACAGTAAAGATAATGAGTGTCTGTACACTGTATACTAAGGCTAGTCACGTGGACACGTTATAAACAACACCCTTTAAATTACGAGTGTATATAACCATGTGTCCTACCTATAGATTTGTGGGTTGATTAGGAAATATACTTAGTTCTACTCTAATGTATTCAGAAAATAAACAAACCCTATCCCACACTTATCTTTACATGTATGTCATTTCTAAATTTAAATAAACCAAGATAGAGTCATACATCTGCACGACAGATCCAAACAACGTGCTCACATATGTGCGATAGTTTATTTCGACCAGTTTCGCACACCGTGCAGACATCATGCACACATCGCACACCGTGCAGACATCATGCACACATCGCACACCGTGCAGACATCATGCACACATCGCACACCGTGCAGACATCATGCACACATCGCACACCGTGCAGACATCATGCACACATCGCACACCGTGCAGACATCATGCACACATCGCACACCGTGCAGACATCATGCACACATCGCACACCGTGCAGACATCATGCACACATCGCACATCGTGTAACATTGTATGATCCCACAACTTTGATGAGGCGATTTGGGTAAAGTAAAGTGATTCAAAAATATGGCAAAACCAAGATGGGGAGGTGCACTATCTCCATAATTCAATACAATTTCGTATTTTTATATATTTGGTAATATCTAACGTGTATACAAAAATGGCCCCATTTCTTCACAAACGTGCAGATCTCGAATGTTTTGTTTGGGTCGTCAGGAAGCAAAACAATTCACAAGGACCTTCATAAAAAGTACCATGCTCGATATATGGAAACATCCAAAATGCAAAACCGTCTCGTATACATTAAGTATTTACGAGTCTCGTATACATTAAGAATGGATGAGTCTCGTATATATTAAGTATATCTTGAAGTAAATGAAAGGATTGATGCCAGAGTTTTTTTTAACTTCATCGGGATTCACATATCGTGAACGGTTTCTCTTTGATCAAATATTGATCATTACCACTTGACATATGATAATATTTTATCCGAACAAACTTAGTTTAGGTTCATATGGACCTTGGTTTACATTCATACATGTAGGTACATGATTTTAAGTGTTGTTATGATGTGCAATGGTTTAACAAACCGATCGCGATTTGATGATAGCTTGTCAAATCGCCTACTTAGGACACGGACACACGCATTGCGATGTAAACATTTTTTGGCATAACGTACGCACACCTGTATGAAAACTAAGCAGACATTATTTATAAAACATCAGAGGATTATATTGTGTACAAAGTCCCTGTGATAATGAACAGAATTCCAGTCTATAGTTGCCGATTCCTGCTTCACTATGAACTGTCTCTTTATTACTGATAGGAATGAGATACAGTAAGATACCAACAGATTCCATCATTGCCGTGACAGCTGGATGACGTACAGAAGTAACGATCCACAGAGATTTAAAGACTTCCTACCCGCTGTATAGCTTATTATTAACACATGGTGTCTCAGCAGAAGACAACATGCACTTGACATGTTGATTTTGCCAGAGACGGATTAAAACAGTGAGACACGGAGTTACGGAACCGAACACGGGCATTTTAATCAGCAACACAAGCAAACATGTCCATCAGCAGATTCGTCATATAGGCTCAAAAATTAGCCATGTTTGTCAAGTGAACGCCAAAAAATTAGTAAACATGTCTCTGTACGGTTATTAGCTCGATACAGTAAAATAGCATTTTCTACCACGCTATGACAGCGTATGAGAAACGACGTCTTGTCATTAAAGAGAAACTTCCTGATTTCAATTGCAGATATATCAAAACTGCGGTTATCGATACAAATGTGTACACAGATGTATTCATAGCTTGGAACATAAAAACAGAATACACTGATTACCATAAACAAGGAAAAATCCGTTAGAAGTACATGTAGACCTCGCCGTGCTTATATATTAAAGCTTACTCTTTTTATTACTGAAAACCCCCACATTAAATATTTGTTTAAAAAATTCTACTTAAGTATACATGTATGTAAGGTTTTCTTTAAGGAACATTTACCTATGTTGACGAATATTTGGCAGTAAAATGTGAAATCTATAAAAGAACAAGCAATGTTCCTTTAACTTTCCCAAACTTTACAGTCTATATATTGCCTTCTTCCATGCTCAGGGCCAGTGTCATGCCACTTATGAAGGTAAGTGTTGTTTACTTTAGGCACGTGGGTTAACTCTGTTGGTCGGGTGCTGATAGTGGGTGACTACAACTAAAACACCTATACAAAGTCAGGAATCATCCTATATACGAACACAGTTCTAGTCATTCTGCCATGGAGTCGGGCAAATATAGTTTCCAGACTGGAGTAAAGAATACTTTTACTGTAGTAGATTATGTCTTGTTTGGACTCATATTATGCGTGTCAGCATCCATTGGTCTGTTCTATGCCATCAAAGACCGTAAACGCCAGAATACTCGAGAGTTCCTGATGGCGGGAGGAGACATGAACCCTCTGCCAGTGTCTCTATCACTTTTGGCTAGCTTTATGTCCGCCATTACTCTCCTTGGAGTTCCAGCCGAAATGTACAATTACACCACAATGTACTGGTGGATAGGACTGGGGTACCTTTTTGTAGCCTTTGGAGCAGCACATGTGTTTATCCCCATCTTCTATAAACTTCGAGTAACAAGCGCCTATGAGGTACGTATTGGATTGTCCATACAACCTAGGCTACATATACTGCATTACGTACATGAATCTATATAGGGGTTTTAAATAGAAGATAAGGATGCCTGTAATAATCTTCTTTTAGAAACCCGTAATTATTAAAATATAGTAATAATAAAAGTCGAAACCATAGTATAGAGGTGAGTTTTCCATGAAAATAAAAAAGGAGATTTACGATTATAGCGACTTTTAACGACGAGGAATGTAAGTTGTAAAATCCCGACAATATATCAATATTTTAAAAATCGACTGGAGCACTGCTAAATATGTGAAGGAAGTTTGCCGGGTTGCTTGAAAATGAGATATATACAGTGAAACTTCAATATTAATACCACATTGGAAATTGACAAAAGTGAACATATATGTAAAGTAAACTGAATTAAGTAAAGTACAATGGGTTGCTTGTTGTTTCTTTTTAATTTTTTTTTTGTTTTTTGTTTTTTTGTTTTTTTGTTGTTGTTGTTGTTGTTGTGACAGATGAAATTCAAGGCCTTACTGGTCTTAATTGAGAAGTGGTCTTAATAGTAAAGTATATATAATATATATATATATATATAAATATATATATATGAAGATTTTTTTTCTGACGGAAATGAAGTGGTTTTCAAATTGCGTAATTCGTACACTTTTGGCATAAACACTGTGTTAAAATCCATTACTCTCCTTCCAGTATCACCTCACGTATCATTGGTATGAACAATGTACACTGTTCCACTATACATGTAGTAGTCTGTGTATCACTTAACATTTCAAACCATAAATTTAAATACAATACTTTGTAATCGAGGTGCTCAATTATCTGTAACCCTTTTTGTTTCATTTAGAATTTTAAGTCCTGACAATAAGGATAAAATATCAAATACAAAATGTATATCCAAAGTTGGTTGAAGTTTTTAGAATTCAAATATCGTTTTAGTTTTTTTTTTAATTTTTGGAGTTTTTGAAATATAGTTCCAAAAGCTCAAAACAACCCACCGAGTAGTTTACGATTGTTCTGTATAATCTGCCTTTCAGATTTTTATCATTTCTCTGTAGTACATTGTACGTAGATTTGTGTAGATGTGTAGAAACCATTAATGCAATATCCCCTCTCTCCGTAGTATTTGGAATACAGATTCAGTAAAGGCGTGAGGACGGCAGGATCAATGACATTTTCTGTACAGATGGTAAGTCCATACCTGTTGTAAAATTGATGACCCCTATTGCTAGATACCTTAAAATGTATTACTTACTACACCACCACTGTTACAGTCCCTGTGTAAATACAATGTAATTGTCTATTATTGAAATTGCGTACTACATTACGTACTTAGTACATGTTTATTTGTGATACAATGATTTTGCGCACCATCGGCCATTTTCAACCTTTAAAAAGTAAACGTTGTCACTCATATATTGTATGTTTCTTTTATCATTTAGACCTAAGAACTTACAGCTTTCGATTTAGTTACGTGTACCGCCTTCTTATTACACGGGCTGTTTTGAAGGAAAAATATTTTAAAAACCAACAATAATCACGTGTACTTTGATCCTTTCCTTCAACGTAACCAACAGGGAAAGTTATGAACCGAGCTGTATGATAACCAAGATGATTTTAATTTCTCTATAGTGGTTTTCTTTTTTTCTTTGTTATTTATTATAGCGACATTCCTGCACCCACAATTAATGGAATTTATATTGATACCGTTGATTCGACATGTTCCCAATATCACGACTTTCGTGGAACTGACAGACAAACTCACATGGGGTTTCGAGATATGCAGGTTGATGAAGATTATTGGAAAGTTTTACGTTCTTTATGATGGTCTCATTGCTTGTGCGATATGAAGTATTACGTGTTTGATGTTCGATCGTTTGCCTTGTGGTTCCGTTGTCGCTTTCTTGTCATTACCTAGATTGACCGACCATGATTTACATGGAGAGTGTCGTCTATAAAATAGAAGATAGTTACTCTTTCGGAACATCAGGGCCCAGTTGTTATTTTCTATACTTTATCGGGGTTTCTGTGTAAATCTTTCGGCCATAGTTTGCCCTAGTTTCACGGAATTTGGGTTTGAATTTGAGAATCCCTTGTCATGTCGGTAATTTCTTTATTGTTATCTTACATATAATTTTACAAGACGCGAGAACAGTGTGAAACTACTCGTTACTGTGGTTATCTTGTTTGCATTAGTTTATTACATCTACTTCCTGTTTAAGCGATGAATTAATCAGTACAAGTGTTCTGTATACAGGAATAGGTGATTTATAATGGTCATCAAACCACCAGTAAGTTTAGCGGAAGTAATCCTCGTGGTTTACATTTCATCATATCAATATTCTATTTACTTCCTACATTTCCCGTTTATAGTGGTTATGTTTGAGTACTGCTTCTATTTTCCATTGCACTTTTATTACATCATTTCTTAAAACAATTCATTTTAAGTTAGAGAAATTGTTATATTTGTGCCGACCATTAACATAATGTTTTTGGTTGCTTTAGAATATAATTTTGTGACATGTGGAGGGTTTTCAAGCGAGAATTATATGGGCGAGTCTTCCGCAACATTCTAGCTCAATGACTGTTCATAATTGTTTTTTTTTGTTTTGTTTTTTGTTTTGTACCATTGGCGATATCAATTGATTATGTTTATATCACTATGTCAATTTCCCCATGTATAAAGAATTTTATTTTTCAGTTGTTGTATATGGCCTTGGTGTTATACGCCCCTTCTCTAGCACTCAATGCCGGTATGTATTGGGATACATGTATATCATTGCTTTTTTCTATCTGAATCTATCATTTTTAGTCTGTATTTACAGTACGAACAAGTTATTTAAGCAAATTTATAATACAGAACATATAAAAACGTCGAGACATATTTAACTTGGTATTAAATGACTGTCAATTTCCATGCTGATTCCTGACACCTGTTTACATTTCCAGTGACGGGATTTACATTGTGGGGATCAGTGATAGCTGTGGGGGCTGTCTGTACCCTCTACACCTGCCTGGTACTGTATACTTTCATTTTCAAGTTTAATTATATCCAAATGCAATACAGCATATAGGTACAAGTGCATTGTATACGTAATTAAATGATCAAAATTCATATATGTAATGTACAAGATGGCGGAGGACAATTCCACTCAAAAACACAAACATATATATAGCTAATACATGTAGTATGAATCAATTACGTGATGAAATACTGTTGGTATGATGTTACTACATATATGAAGAAACAATACATAAAAAGCACCGCAGCATTTCAATTAAGTACTATTTAACGAGTTATTGACAGTTATCAAATAACTGTTATGATACATTTATACGTATTCATCCTTTCAAATTATATTCCAATATAATGCTTTCTCAGAGATGAGATTTTTTCTTTTAGCAGTAGCGTACAACAAATATTTACCCAGTCTGTTTAAAGATTTAACACTTTTACAGGTAAATAATTCTGCTAGTTATATTTTAATGTACTTTTTTTCTTAAATCAGAATATGCTGGACAAAGTAGTACAAAATCTTTATCGTCGACGTCATTTTTATTACACAGTGTACATACTCTCTGCCGTCTTGGGATGTTATTATAGCGCCATGATTCTTTGTTAAGACTGTATCCTTGCATGCAAAATTGACTCAATGCTTTTTTTAACTTAAAAAATAACGGGCTTTGTCAGAAAGAACTGGGTACAAAAGGTATCAACAAGGTGTTTGTACAAATGACATTTGAAAGAAGCAAAGATTAAAAACATCATGGACACGTTGAGCATGCGTTTGCAAAAATGATATTCATTTTGTATATGTTGTCTATACCAAACATAGTTAAAACCCAAACTACAAAGTTCAAACTTAATTTAATAAACTCCATTAATTTTTACAATAAGGTTTTCTAATATTCAATCTGACTAATGCGTCATAGCATGCCTTTAACATATATATGTTGTTCCCGAGATGTTATTGTTTTCAAAAAGCAGAAAATAAATAGTGGGCTATTTTACGAAGACGCCGTGATAAACCTCCTATGAAAAAACAAAAACACATGCCTTTCTTTTTGATGTTGATTTGGACAGGGCGGCATGAAGGCGGTGTTGTGGACAGACACTTTCCAGGTAACCATGATGTTTGCCGGCCTCATTGCAATTCTAATCAAGGGGAGTATAGAAAGTGGAGGCATGGGGTTGGCATGGCAACGTGCAGAGGAAAGTGGCCGAGTGGTTTTTGACGAGTATGTAATATCTAAATGTAGAGACGTTTGACGAATATGTGTTTTTTATGAATACGATACCTTTACACGAGCATAGATATTTTGATTTGTAATTGATTATACATATATCAGTGGACAATGACAAAATGACTCATATACATTGAGCAAGAGATTTACTTATCCTATTTCTCCCACAGCTTTGATCCAAACCCCGCCAAACGCCATAGTGTATGGTCTCTTGCGGTCGGTGGAACATTCACATGGGTGGCCATTTATGGCGTAAACCAGGCAATGGTACAACGCTGCTGCACGTGCTCAACACTTAAGAAAGCTCAGCTGTGAGTTATTTTATAATACTTTGACCTTATCCTGGATACCGATCAAACTCTTGCAAGGCTTTTGGTGTCACTGTTATGATATGCTCTAGATAATGTTGACTTTAAGACCAGGTGGTCTCAAATGCTAGATGCTGGTCCAAATATGGTAGCCATCTTTCCCGTTGAAGCAGATGATCGACTGACTTCAGTATTGAAGAAATATCTGATGACGACATGCTCAGATGTGCCATCGAAATGTGAGGCTTAGAATAAGATGATGATTATATCAGTGACTTGTTACGATTCCCTCTCCTCTGCTTTCAAGTGGGTTTGTGCGTAATTTCATGATGTCGAGAAAATGACGATAACAGTTAGGCCTTGGCTAGAGTAGACCTAGGTCATGTTCTGAATCCAGGGATCACGAATGTTTGTAAAATCACGACTTACTAAAATCATATCACATGGTATTGTCTCTTACCTTTTACTTTTTAATTTTATACAGGATACAAAAATCCTAATCTCAATTTGAAAGAAATGAGCAAAGCTTTTTCCAATTAGACAACGACATATCGAATTTTATATTTGTAAATTAGGAATCAATATAAACGAAAGTTTGACATATAACCCAGTCGGAAAAAATATGTAAAGCCTTTTTTATATGTGTGGACTTATATCATGACCCGAATCTGTTGACAAATTGACTGAGAAGTGGATGGAGGTTCTACGCCGTCAATGGTTGAAAGGAGCGTTGTGATTGGCATAAATAATGTCAGTTACTGTTTCGAACAAAGAAATGTAGATCTAAGGTGTTGTTAAACTTCGTTAACATTACTTTTTTGACATCGCTTTAAGACTTAAATCACTTTAGAATGGTGACAAGATTTATGCAAATAGAGGAAATTCGATTATAAGTTTTGATTTTAACATGAAAAGAAGTCGAGTGTTCATGCGCTAATTTTTAGTAGATGCATAAAACAAGAATAGTATTCCCTAAATTAATCGTATTCATGGTTCATCAATAATCTTTTTTTTTCTAGAAATATAGTATAGTTTAAAACGTTATACTTTATACTGACATTATTCTGAGATATTATATTGGTTAATCATAACAAATCAGAAGTCTCTGGCTTACATTATCATATGACGTTTTTATATAACAGAGATACTAAATATATACATTTGATTATATGACAGAGCCATATGGATAAACTTCCCAGGACTGTGTTTGATCCTGTTCCTTTGCTGTTTGATCGGTATGGTGATGTATGGGTTTTACAGCCGTTGTGACCCCTTCAAATTCGGACTTGTTGAGAGCTCCGACCAGGTAAGCTGTCAAAAAATGGTCCTTCAAACGAAATATTTCTGTTTGCACCGTATTACATTACTATTTATAATGCAATAAAAATGTGAAATCATCTGACCTGGTGTATCTTATATGAGAGGAGAGTTTCCAAGGTTTCTTGCAACAATGACAGTAAATACTGAAATAAATACGTACAGTTATATCATGTGAAGTCCATATTATCTTTGTCTTTCCTTGTCCAAGTCGTTTAGCTTTGATCGTTTCAATTGTATCCTATCTTGAAAACTTACAAATGCTATCTGCTTCTGAAAAATGTACAGTCTGTATCTCACCTGTATGAGTGTTTGACATGGCATTTGAGAACTTGTGGTATGTATTTGACAAAACTTGTATCTGAAGTAGTGCTCGTACGTCACGGTATATTCAGCTAATTGATAAGTTTGATAAGAACTACCCTCATTTTTACTATTGACAGTTACTTCCTTTATTTGTGATGGATGTCCTTGGAACAGCACAAGGATTCCCAGGACTTTTTGTTGCCAGTCTCTTCAGTGGAGCTCTTAGGTAAACCTTAAAATGACAGCTAATTCTGATTATGATCACAGCCAGATAGGGACTATTTTAGGTAAATCTTAAATGACTGCTCAGCTAAATATGATCATGATCACAGCCAGATAGGGACTATTTTAGGTAAATCTTACAATGACTGCTCAGCTAAATATGATCATGACCACAGCCAGATAGGGACTATTTTAGGTAAACCTTACAATGACTACTCAGCTAAATCTGATCACAATAATAGTCTCAGGCAGGCCTAATAGGAATCACGCATCTATAAGTAAATTTTACTTATTTCATTGAATACTAATATTAGCCATTGAGTCGTTTCCATTCAACGAGTGACTAGTTTCAGAAGAACACACTTGACTTGTATCGACTCGGTATGTGTCCAGCGTCACAATAAAAATATATTTGTGTCAATTTCAGTACAATATCATCCGGATTGAACTCGCTATCAGCAGTGGTACTACAAGACGTCATCAAGTCTTACTTTCTACCGGACATCTCCGAGCAGCGTGCGACACTCGTGTCAAAGATACTAGGTATTGACCCTCTCAGTTTCCTTGTGAAAGCTTGTCTTTCTAAATTCACGCTTTATTTAAGCAGCATATATTTGCTGGCGTACGTTCATTGAATAGAATCTGGTCGCCGCGACATGTACGGTTTTTAAAACCAAGGCGAATGTTTCCCTGTAAACAGTGCAACGACATTCCCGTTCACACCGTTTTAGTAAAATAGTTTCTTCTTACTTCAACTTTAGATAATAAGAGATATAATAGTCTACTGTTCAAACTTCACGATACGCTATTCTGAAACAAAGTATCCCTCCAAACGTTTATGATGATGTGTATTTTGTGTTACTAGCCCTGATATTTGGTGTAATCTGCCTCGGACTGACTTATGTGGCGTCCTTGCTCGGAGGAGTTTTGCAGGTATATGTATTTTCCATCTCGTACAATGTGCTGTAAGACGAATGATTGTTTTAAGACGCATGACAATGTGCTGTAAAACTCTTGCTGTTAACATACTGTACATTGCACATGTCTGGAGACAGTTGCCGTAGGTCTTTCATTTAGACTAGCAAATTCAAGGATGCTTCTGTTAACGAATCTGCTTTTTTTCTTCAAAATATCATATATTGACGTTCTGATAAGAATTAAGATAATTTCTAATGTCATAACCAACGCGTCTCTTGTCTTATGTAATGAGAAATTAAAATGAAAAAAGCAACTCCGTTGACCCCAAGCCGTTTTTAATTTTATTTTTGAAATAATTCTATAGTGATACTGGCCATTAGTTCTTCACCAGCTTACTGGCATGTATATAACATATATAACCCATAATAGTCAAGTTTAAATCATTACATCGATTTATTTCTTGTTTCCAAAGTTAAACGCTTTTTTTTCTTCAATAAAGTTCTTGGATTTGTTCCTTCTTTTTGAATTTCCACAGTTATTCATGTTCTGTTCCACAGGCTGCACTATCTCTGTTTGGTATGATAGGTGGACCACTGCTTGGGCTATTCATCCTAGGAATGATGTTCCCTTGGGCCAACAAATGGGTAAGAAAACGTTCAACAATTAGCTTGATATTTTATACTAAAATGAATTGCATCACAAGTAATGTACTATTTCTTTGTCAGGGAGCGTACGCTGGTCTTCTGTTTGGACTTGTGTTTATGTTCTGGATAGGGGTAGGAGCACAGATATACCCACCGGCCATCCCAAAGCCACCTGTCTCCACCGAGGATTGTAACTGGAATCTTACTATCGCACCAAATATAACCATTACACCGTTCGACCTTAATAATACATCGGGTGCTCCTACAAACGAGGACAGGTAGGCATCATTATTCATTATTTGAGAATGGTTCCAGAACCAAAGAAGTGGTCAATTTGGACATTGGAAATAGACTGTGAATATCGGGATAGCATGGAAACGTAAATGGAAATGTATAAAACACGTATAATTAATATCCATAACAACGTTACTGTTTTTACCGTGATGTCCCTAAAAAGCAAAATAGATATAAATCTATTCCAGTTGTGTCTTTACAATTATTGACATGGTGTCCCATTCGTCACTTGGTTTGATGACGATTGCTTTCTGGGTTATCTCTGACTTTATCTGGCAGGTTTTCACGAAAATGATATTTGCTCAACACCGCTTATTCAACAAAATGCATTTCTCATCCCGTAGGAGAAAATTTCAAGCATTTTATAATATATAATCATAAGTACTTCAAAATACATGGGACTCCAGGCAGCAATGAATTCTCCATAGATCGATGAAAGGCTAAATCCACCCCGATTTCCTGTGTGAAATTCAGATTAGATATTATCAGAATGAATGTGTAATACATGGCAATGTACCTCAAGTTGCCGAAAAAAACAAATTTGATACTAAGTAGTAGGTTTTATTTATTCTCGCGTTATAAGCCTTGATTCTGCAGTAAAATATTATAAGTTACATTAGAAGATCTTTACTGATACAGGTTATTGACAACGGCAAAATATTCCTTCAGGAAATAGAAAATGACTTTAAAGTTTGGCAACTCTGTTGTCTACAACGTAAATACAGAGATAGTTTAAAAAGTAGTTGTTTCTCTTCTTTAAATGCTCATAGATGACATGTTGATGGTTGCATTATTTAGCAACATGTGTCCCTCTGTGTTTTGTTTTTCATCTTAATTTCTTCAACATTCTAATCACCAATTGGCGTTATTACAATCGGTGTCTAATGAGAGACACATTTCTTCTTTTAATAGTTATTGCAGATCAGGTAAATATGCTTCAAAAGATTATCAACTCCCTCTGGATGACAAAGTTTGAATGCCTTTTGACATGAAAAGTCCGAGATGACCTATGTCTACTTCCAAGCACAATAAGGTGTAACAAAGTTACATGCGGTATGAACATACATACCTAATGAATACACAGATTTACCAATGTAATCGCTCCGTGATTCACTCAAGTTTGACAGAGAAAATACTTGTCTGACTTTCGGATTCCTCTGTTTCTTGTAAATCTTACCACAGCATTGGATATAATACCCAGTCTTGACAAATGTTTCAAATCGTTGATTCATGAAAGCGGTATACATGGATGTTCCCAATCACAACTTCGACGACAAGGTAGTCTGACATCATCCCAGGATGATAAAGACAGTGAAATTGGTTTTTACATGGAGGCTTTCATTGTCCTTTCTGACTAATTCTTTATTCACTAAACAGATGTGGTTGATGTTTAATTTGTCGATCTTCCAAAATGAGGTTCGCACCTGGTATGTCAAACATTCTGTAATTAGCCGCAATCTACACGGTATTGGATCATCTGTGATATTTTGTTTCGTTACAGCGATCCCGTGCATAAACTGTACACGCTGTCATATATGTGGTACAGTGCTACCGCCGTTTTGGCCACCTGCGTGATGGGGCTGATTGTCAGTGGATTTACAGGTAAATTTTACAAGTATTAGAATTTACGGCTGCTAATCAGTGAAGTTTTATGTAAAAGTGTTGCAGTTGGATAATCAGAATGGAATTACATGTAAAAGTATTACTGGTGAATATGTAGTGGAAATTAAGGAGACTTTGTGATTACAGGAAAATGTTACTTGTGTATGAGTATAAAGGGTGGATTATAGATACGATTCGGGTTATTATCAAAAAGTGTTCCTCGAACAACGAGTGGCTTTTAAATGTGACAAAAAACCACACTTAAAACATAATAACAACTACCCTGAATCTAGGCATACATATATGTACGTTATTCTCAATAATGACACGTTCAGGTATGGCTAAAGCTAACGTGTTCATTCAGCTACAAACATGCATTACATAATCGCTCAAGTACCATCTCCCAGCGTGAGAAAACAACATATACTTTGGTCGCTTATAAAATATGGTATGTTCTAGTATCGCTGTATATCTTTTGAAGAACTAAGAAAGTTATAAATAGTATATATAACTTCTGGCAGGATTCAATGACCCCAAGGAAGCTGATGCTCGCCTTATGTGTCCACTGTTTGATATTCTCTTCCCTTGTCTACCGGAAAAGATCCGCAAACCTTTGCGCTTCGGCGTGGACTACAGCACATTACAGGTATTTCTGTTACTAGTATGGTTTATCATTGACCTTCTTTAAATGACGTGTTTTCGTTACGTTTTTTTATATTTAGATACACAACAAGAAGCGTTACCAGGGACTTTGAACCTTATTTTCCATATGATGTAATGTTATTAGTAATTTTATTTCGGGAAGGGCGTATACATTATTTGTTTTAAGTTGTTACTGAAGGATGTGTTACTTAGATCAGTTTCTGAACTATGCATCACTTTGTGTCAATTGTGAAGTTTATATGACGTTATGTCATTATTTAAGTTTGTTTTAATGTCATTATCGAAGTTTGTATTACTTTGTTTTGGTCCGCTTATAGAGGTTTGCGTTATGCCGCGTCCCGACTGAAGTTTACATTACTTGTCTCATTGACGAAGTGTATGTTAATTCTACCTCTTTCTGAAATACGTTATATTACTTTGTGTTAATTCTGAACTTAGTATTTTTAGGAACTGTTACTTGCAATACAATTATTCATTATCTGTATCAATTTGTATCATTATTTAAGTTGGTTTAAGTTTGAGCGTCACGGATGGCGGTATAACTAGTACTTCCAATAGATGTCTGTTTGATTTACATCATAAATGGCTCATCTTTTTTTCAGACCACTCCCGGTTACGGCATTGAGCAGGGCAAGGAAATGGATGGGAATGCAATTACATTGTCGAACGACAAAAATAATTTTCAGAATAGCTTTAGTAAAATCAACGGGAAAGAAGGTGGAAGCAGGTCTGCTAGTCAGGACAGTGGTTTAGGACAGGAAGGCTGTGATGGAATAGATAATGATCCGCCCATATACAGCCAGATCAGCGAAGATTCGACAACCCATACTACCAAATTATAAACTCACTTTATATACCTAAATGAAGCAAATATTATCACACACTAAGTTGTGATATTGAGTATTTTACACTAAAGTATGACGCCATATTTCCTGTGCTTAAAACACCAACAATGTGCGTACTTTGATGGTTATGTGCCTATTACAAGGAAGTCAACATAGTTAGGTTGTGGTATATTTCCTCCAGGAAAATGATCTCATCTTATTCTCTTTAAGTTACGGTATTCTGTTGGACACTGTCGTATTCGTCATCAAAACAACGGAAACAGTTGAAGTGTCATTATTTGTATTCAAATTCTAACAAGTTAATATGTCATGTAAAGCTAAAAATTAATCATCGATCAGTCAGTCTTATTGCACAATACAGAGTGTATGTTGTTGTAAGAGATTGGATTGGACGTTTTAAACTATTTGTATATTAACCATCATAATCTGGTTTATATTCTGTGTTATTCAGTGTTTTTAATCTGTCGTTTGTCTTTACCCGAAACTGGTAGTAATTGTACTTTTGATGTCGTACCTGAGATTTGTCACAAGTCTTCCTCATTCGACTTCTTGTGATTGGTGTTCTAACTACCAGACAAGGGGTGTTCAAAAGATTGATGCTTAAGTGTGTGTGCAATCCATTCCATCGTCATTGCTGTTTCTGATCCAATAATGCATGCTCCATTGCTAACTATGTTCTCACTTGGGAACGTGACATCACTTGCTTGACCAAGATTTACATGTCGAATGGGGTGTCACCGATAATGTAAAGTAGAGGCGCTTACCCTTCAGGAACTCTTTTTCATATTCTTATTTCACATGTACTATACTTCAGAGGTCTCCATATAATCATTTCTTTTGTTCTTACTTCGTCCTTGTGTCAGTTTTTTTTTAATAGTTTGAATTAAGATTCCGTTGACGCGTTGGTAGTGTCTTTGTTGTTTTTGTTGATGGTGTTCACAAACAGATGTTTGAATAAATATAGTTGAGTATGAGCTTACTTGTCCTTCATGATTATTCTCCACCCAATAGCACTGATTCAACATTGGAGATGAACCGTTTGTTTTTTTTCATATTTTCCGCGGTGAACTTCAGATCATCTTCATGTGAATGGATTGTGTTCTGGCTTCTCCAGTATTCACCTTGACATATGTACCGCCATATTTACTAACGAAATTCCTAGTAAGTAAATCTATTCTACTTTCACATGCACAGCATCTTAAATTACGAGTGAACCGACATTGTGTTGATGTTGAGAAAATGTGAGTAACAATGTTATTCCGTATGCTTATAAACATATGCTTGTCAAGCACTCACTATTTGTTGTCGTCCTGTGATTTTCATAATCAATAAAACGCTGAAGGTTAAACGGCCTAAATGGTATACAGCGAATGGAAAGTATGTACCTCTTAATATCACAAACGATAGTGTGAAAATGCCAAAGACAGAAAGGGCCACTTATACATTTACAATAAGTGTGTTTGTAGTCGGTAATCTTAATTTTGGTGTACTCGCTTTCCATCTCAATAAAAAAAGTTACAATAGTCACGTGGTAAAACTTTCGCATTCTTCAGACCATAAAACAAACGAAACAGTGTTATCCTTAAATAAGGTTTATACACAAATCTGTCATATTTTATAAACACAATTAAATTGTGTGAACCAAGTATAACTTAAGTAGTTTGTGTAGAGGTCTAACATAAGCTTTATACTGCTGGATCGGTGGACAACTGCAGAGGATATAAACCACAGAATGTCTTATAGCAATTAGAACAAAAATTAGAAAAAATACAACTACATTAGTGTCACAAAAATTGTCACAAAATTTCACATAAAAGCTATTGGACAACAACAAAGATCGCATCAGCAAGTTATAAAAAAGTAATTGTCAAATTTAAATAATCAATATTTAAAATGGCATTCGCCATAAAATATATTCGCAACATTACACATTAGTTATCATTCTTTGAAATATTAACAATTTATTACAGGAGAAACATTCCAAACGTGATTTCTCAAGCTGGTTCCTCAAGAGGCAGAGCTGTTATGTTTAGTAAGTGTTTTTTATGCCTGTCGATTATAGTTTTTATCGTCATCAATTGAAGCGTCTAATAAAAAAACCATTTAACATCGAATTTGGTTCAAACCATTTAAATGGCAATATACTTTATTTTATACAAACCTAGGTATAAACTCAAAGTTCTATAAAATCAAAGGGATGAACTTCGACCCTTTGAAGGAAATCCTATACACAATATATTTCATTAATTCAGATTTTTTTAAATGTACGTACTACGAATCAGTATCATTAACAACGAAAATTGGATTTCCTTAAAAGATATCAAATTTCGTAAGTCTCTTAGCAGTCTCAAAACCTAGTTCGAGGTTTCTGACAAGTTCAATAACAAAATATTTCACGGTTACATTAGATTTGGTAGCGTTTAAAGTACAATGCTATACTAAATACAACACATGTCTTCAGTTCTTAAGGGCATAAAAACAACCGATCCCTACTTTATAACGAAAAGCAATATCTGACTTCTTCCTAGCACCAAACACTAGACTCGGATACTTAACGTTGACTGCTGTGTGGTCCACGATTTAACAATCAGTAACACTAAATAAGAGGAGAAGACTTACTCTGAAAAATTAAAGCATTCAACAATTTGACTCTCCTGCCAAGGCCTCCGCCCCTATATGACCCCGAAGTATCAGTAAAAAGTTCACGTACCTAGAATGGCAACGGACGAAATATGACGGCGACGGCTACATGACCGAACCGTCTACATTCTTGTATGTATCTATTATGGAAAAAGAATTTCTTAAAATGGAACAAAACGTGCTTAGAAGTACAATATCTTCTCAGTTACTCGGTCAACAAGCATCCCCAAACCAACAATTCTGCAGAACTAACGCACTCCCTTACCGGAACACGTAAATGTGTGTCCGGATTAAATAACGCGGGGGATAAAATTCACTAAACACCTTCTAGAGTTGGCGATTACTAAACTGATGTATAGAACACTGCAGTTCTTTGTCTCATGTATATCTCGTTCACAATCACGGAACCAATGTAAGAAGAATTGCCATGGATTTAATGGTAAGGTATACCCGATATATAACGGACACGAGTTTATAAAATATACACGTGTACATACTGCTTTATGTAGATCATCTAGGGCACATGTATTTGTGTTAGAGTACAGGATCAGGCACGAGTGTACATTAAACGTTTGTATAGTGTAGACTGCCACATGCAGTTTCAGAGTAGTGAATGCAGCTTTACATGAACTCTTTACTCTAGAATGTGTGAACCGTGGTTCAGAAATGTAATTTACTTGTAAATTACGTTGTATATTAAATAGATATAATATGCCTCGATTTGAAAATGAAAGTAGACGAGACACTCGGAACTGAGAAGAGTTGTGCTCGTGGCGCGTAGTTTCATAGGAATAACATTTGTTTCTGCTTGTTTTAGTGAATTGCTGTAACTCGTCTGCAATGTGACATAAGATTTGACCATACATGCGAAGACTAACATGTTAAATGATCGGCTATTCAAGAAACGTATCTAAAGAATTATCTAATTGATTTGACAACAAAGTAGGAAGGCTGACCGAAGACAACAAAGTCACTGTACTAACAGCTCAACTTTGGTAGCTTTAGAAGCTTGGTCATATGAGTGCAAAAGTATGTTGTTTAATAGAGATCTCACTTGTTTATAATGATCCCGTGTCGATATAACAAACGATATTTCCACTGGTCAGTAGCCTGTCATTATAAACATAGTTGACTCCATTTCATTTTCTCAATTTTACAGACCATGTCTTGAGTGAAAAATCACACTGGATCTCTCAGTACGAAACACAGAGCATTAAACCTGTTGACTGGCTGGCTCCAGCTGAAATCATTGCCGATCATGTGATCAGTAAAGTGGGAGCATTGTCGACCGGAAAGGAAAAGCCTTTAATACGCCTTTTGGACGTTGGGTGCGGGACCTCCCATGTGCCCCATCGCCTCCTTCAGGATCTACCTCATCCCTTACACCTCGTTTGTCTCGATTACGTCCCTGGTGCAGCTCGCTGGCAAAGTGAAGTGCTTACAAAAATTACGCCGGCTAATAAACTGTCGATACACACCTGTATTACTGGCGATGTACGTGCATTACCCTTTAGAGATGATAATTTCCACGTGATCTTGGACAAAGGGACACTAGACTCGCTGCTGAAGGACAGAGATCGGGCACTTCCGTCCTGTGATAAGATGTTAAGCGAATGTCTTAGGACGCTCCGTCCTGGAGGAGTCTTACTACAGATTACAGATGAAGATCCGGATTTACGAATACAGCTATTGGAGGAGACGTTTTCCCGGATCAAAGTCAAGGCACATGTTTCTTATAGCCAGGTCGACACGCATGGCCACGAGTGTTTTATGTACGTTTTGTCACTTTGATTCAAAATTGACTTGACGCGATAACGCAATGTTAGAAATAGTTGACAAGGCCAATAATAGAAGTTCATTTATCCTCGACCTAGTCTCCTTACTTGTAATTAAGCCAACTGTCGTTTGTTTAAGTTACTACTGTTGGCCTATTTAGTGTATATATCACGAGAACTCTGCAATGCACTAGACAGGAGTTGGGCTTTTCGGGACCTTGTCACTCGGCATGACTTCTTCTTGAGTTCTAGCTGTGGTGATCGTGAAATAGTGTTGTTATTTATCAAGGTCTCTCATAACTCCAATATGGCGCAGAGAACTGCCAACTTTTCTCCAGTTCCACACTGGTGCAAATGAACTGAAATTTCGTTGAATTGTTGGGAGACTGAAATGAATAGTTTCTATAATCATAATTGTTTCTAATCATTTTGTTCACACCTTCACTATTGCTAACAAGTGTAAAAGATCTTTACAATGAGATGAACATTAAAGCGTATGAGCTCTAGTTGCTGAAACATCTGTTGCGTTTTGTCTTCCGCATACGGTGAAATCACAGCGTTAAGTAAAACAAGTAAATAAATCCGTGTATACGATAATATCACGGCGGCTTCAGTAGCAACAGAATAACTATTTTATTAGTTTATAATTAAACTTACAAGGGCTTATTACATGGACAGAACACACCCGATATATTTTACGGGATAACAAGACACGTATTTAAAAGTTCAGCAAAATATTGCTCAGTTACTGCGTACACGTGTATCTTCCTTCGTGCTTCATCATTTTGACCTCGAGATCTTGTAGATGAGTAAAAGTAAACGATTTGTAATAGTGAATAGAATTTAATGTAAATGTGCTTGTAGATGGATGGGATCGCAATGCCCTCTTTGAGATTTACAACGGCTGAAACGGGAATTTTATTTGTTGTTTAAGTTTAAAACCTGAACAAACTCTAACAAATGAACTATGTCTGGTAGTCGATGACCTGATAGATCTGTATCATGTTTAATACACAGGAGACAACAATGTAACTCAATGGAAATGTCTATTATTTAATTTCTTTCTTTTTCAGAAGTTCAACTGGCCATCATACTCATTTTATATATCAATTCCTTGATTTGTATTTTTTTTTTCAAATTACTATTTTTCAGACAAAAATCTTGTGTTAAAGTGTAGTTTCCAGTTCAATTTCTGAAAATGAAATTATTGGAATAATAGACATTTGCATTTGAGTTCGCACACTGTGATTAAATGCACTTTTCCTTATCCGTGATAGCGAAGATAAAAAACATAGAATTAAAATTTGAACCATAGAACTCCAAACCATTGAAAGCTATTTTTAGTTTAGTCGAGATCCATGACAGATAAAGTGACTAGTACATAGTATGAACTGTCGTCTTACTAGACATGAGTGCAATTTGTACACCCTTTTCATTTAATACTGACTGGACGATGTACGTAGTCCATACAATCACATCACATAGTTCATCTACTGACAGTCCAGGATGACATTGTCCGCCATCATTATATTGGAGCCTGAAATTTTCCATCAGCCTGAGCCCATTAATTACTGTCTAACATAGTCCATCAGTCCACATATTATTGTCGGACATTTTCCATCAGTCCATTATTGCTGTCTGACATTTTCCATCAGTTCAATATTGCTGTCTGACATTTTCCATCAGTCCAATATTGCTGTCTGGAATATTTCATCAGTCCAATATTGCTGTCTGACATATTTCATCAGTCCAATATTGCTGTCTGACATTTTCCATCAGTCCAATATTGCTGTCTGGCATATTTCATCAGTCCAATATTGCTGTCTGGCATATTTCATCAGTCCAATATTGCTGTCTGGCATATTTCATCAGTCCAATATTGCTGTCCGGCATATTTCATCAGTCCAATATTGCTGTCTGACATATTTCATCAGTCCACGTATTGCTGTCTGACATTACCATCAGTCCAAGTATTGCTGGCGGACATTTTCCATCAGTCCTATATTGCTGTCTGACATTACCATCAGTCCATTTATTGCTGTCTGACATTATCCATCAGTTAATTTATTGCTGCCCCTGCAGCGTAACAATGTCTATCAGTCCATACTTTGTAGCGTGTAGTTTATACCCCGCATAGTGACAATATTCATCAATGCACACTTTGCTTCTTGACTTTACCCATAATTCTATTTTTTCATACAGTTCACTTCATACTCTGCGGCGTGACATTTGCCTTCATGGCGACTATGACGGCGATGTCCTGTATACAGTTCGGAAGAGCCCCGAACATGTTGCTGAGAATACACATAGCACTACCCGGAACATAACGGCTTTTCGGGTGCCGTGCCAAAATGGCGTGTTCAAGACAGTCTAAAACCTCGTAAGTCTTCTTAGAGGACAGTGACAAGTGTGACCTCAATGTAGCCTGAAAAGTGTGGAAGTAGTGTTCGCCATAATCGTCCCTGACTTGTTGTGAAGTTGTCAACCAAGAGTGCTCCGCTTGACCCAGCTGCATGGAACGCTCTGCCATTGGCGTCCTGTAATACACAAGATAGTGCGTGATAGAACAGTATAGAAATATATCACACTAAAAATATATGAAATGTATCTTAATTAGTTTCCATAGAGACTGCACGACTGACTGTTACATTAAAGAGAAATCCTTCCGGGATACATTATAGGATCTAGAGGGACAAAACAGCTGCATACTTCAGTTTCATTCATTATTTGACATATGCTTTCAGAATCACGGAATTTATTCATACTGCTAGGTTGTTCAAACATTGGCTATGCTATGAGATGGTAACAAGTACATACCTTTCAGCTTGTACATGTACCGATACCAAGGGAGATGTCGCATACTGTCACTTGCTGCCCTCAAGACCATAAAATACGGTGGTACGTAACAAAGTCAGTGTATTCTGCAGTATTACACAGAGTTAAAACGCGTGTGCTATGTTACTTATCCTGTACTTACCTATACATATTTGGTTCTATCGTTATGACCTTGACCTTGAACTTGGCCATTTCCCGCCTAAGACAGTCGGAGAATCCGACCACACCATATTTTGTAGCGGAGTAAGCGGTGAAGCCAGGGAGGCCAACACGTCCTGAGATTAGAGAACGCCAATACTTTATTATATAAAACGTTACAACAGTACGTGTTCTTTTTACCAACATATATGAAAACTATTTTTAGGAGGTACGTCAAGTCTTACACACTGTGAAGCGTCAAGTCTTACACACTGTGAAGCGTCAAGTCTTACACTCTGTGAAGCGTCAAGTCTTACACACTGTGAAGCGTCAAGTCTTACACACTGTGAAGCGTCAAGTCTTACACACTGTGAAGCGTCAAGTTTTACACTCTGTGAAGCGTCAAGTCTTACACTCTGTGAAGCGTCAAGTCTTAGACACTGTGAAGCACGTCAAGTCTTACACTTTGTGAATACGACTTTACTTTACGAAAACGTCGGATTGGTGAGATTAATCTAAAATATCTGCGTTTTCAATAGTTTTAATATTATCGTGTTTGAGAAAAGGGTCGTCGCACATAAGTATGTCATCACCTGCTAAACTGGCGACATTGATCACCCGTCCTTGTACCCGTCTTATCAATGGCAGGAAAGCCTTTGTCACTCGTATGGTTCCCAGCAGGTTAATCTCTAGTGATCTTTGGTAAGTATCCATGGAACACCATTCACATTCGGTGAATACAGCGATCCCCGCGTTATTTATCAAACTCCACAGTCCTCCTGTGTGTATAAAACAATATATGAAAGTCATGCTTTCGTTTGCAAACCTTAACGTAGGTTCATGTACAATACGACAGCCCACATATTTATATGAACAATATCAAACATATGTACCGTACAGCATCAAACACGTGTACCGTACAGCATCAAACACATGTACCGTACAGCATCAAACAGATGTATCGTACAATATCAAATACTGTACCTTACAGTATCAAAGACATGTACCGTACAGCATCAAACATATGTACCGTACAGCATCAAACACATGTACCGTACAATATCAAATACTGTACCGTACAGCATCAAACATATGTACCGTACAGCATCAAACACGTGTACCGTACAATATCAAATACTGTACCGTACAGCATCAAAGACATGTACCGTACAGCATCAAACATATGTACCGTACAGCATCAAACATATGTACCGTACAATATAAAATACCTTTACCGTACAGCATCAAACACATGTACCGTACAGCATCAAACACGTGTACCGTACAGCATCAAATACCTGTAGCGTACAAAATCACACATCTGTACCGTTCAATATCAGAAATCATATACCGGTACCGTACAAAACCATACACATGTACCGTTCAATATCCCACATCATATATCTGCATCGGACAAAATCACATGTATGTACCATACAGTTTATAAAACAGATAACGAAGGATACAGACAACATGCCATATCCTTACCTTGTTCCTGTGTCCTTAACGTCACATATTTTAAAGCCTCTTGTACCTGGTGGTCACTAGTGACGTCAATCTGTACAATCTGCACCCGTGACGTCTCCGCTAACAGTGTCCTTGCGGGCTGACCATTGACGTCCAAACAGCCAGCTATCACCACAAATCCTAAGACATCAAGGCGCCGGGCCAACATGTTACCAAACCCTGTATCACATCCTAAATAGAACAGGTGTAAGTTTTATGTGCAATGTTTAATTTGGACAGTTGTCCGTAAAACTTGTCGGAAAACTTTCTGAAATAGGTAATAGATGTAAAGCATTGGTCCTTCAGATATAACACAAAGAAAATGTCTAACTACATTGTATTTCATTTGTTGAAAGTCTTGTAACTGTTATGTTATATAATTCACATGGTATTCAAAAGAATAGATTCGTTTTAAATCGAAACCTATGTGGATTCTTTTCTATCGTGTCTTATGTACGTTGATTTTATGAAAGTCATCAGTATGTATTATATTCTTTTGACATATAAAATGTGTCGTTAAAGTGTCTGACATGAAAATGAAAAATTATATTTCAAGATGCGAAACAACGGACTTAGATATCCATCGCGCAACTGACATCTACAAAAGATGTACATCCTATGTCTTACTATAGCAGACATGCTGTAGATATCTTATGAAGAAAAGTACTTTGTGTCGATGAAGTACAGGTTTGGTCGACATTTCTTTATGAACAGTCACTTTGAATGCGATTTTAGGTATATTTTGATATTAGAACAATATTTCATGAGTACGAAGTCACAAAATCAAATAACACAGTACACCCGTTAGGAGATAATTATTTGATAAAATATTTTTTACAACTTTTCAATGCTTTAATAATTGAGGCTCCATCTACAATATGCAGTCATTGTGTTCTCATAGCTAGAAATAGCGATAACAAACTTCCATTGTCAAAATCCAGTGTGACAGACATTTTTTCTAATTATCTGATCAGTCCAAAACACAGAAGGACACAACAAGAGATGAATGGAGACCTATCATGTACGTGTAATATTTGTGAAAGATTTATCCAGTATTTCTAAAGAAATAGCGAGAAAACAAACTTTCATTGTAAAAATCCAAGATGGTCGCCTGCCTGTCATTCTATTTTTCTGATCATTCCAAACATCAAATGGGCTCAACTAGGGACTTCTACTATAAAAATTTAAGATGGACGTCTATCGACGAATTTTCCCCAATCGGTCTCGAAATTAAATGAGTAAAACTAGGGGTAAGGGAAACCAGCACATCAAGATTCAGAAACATATTTTCAGTATTTCTCAAGAAATTGCGATAACAATCTTCAACTATGAAAATAGAAAAAAAAAGTCGGCCATTTTGTTTTCCTTATCAGATTCACAATTAACTATGTAACACGGGAAATCTATATAGCAAGTCACAATATACCCTTCCAGTACTTTGTCATGAATGTCGAATTCTTGATACTTCATGGCGAAAATCTTAAACTGAAATACAATAATTCCGCAAGATAGGAGGAAACATCTGGAAATTACCATGGGCAATGCTTTCTATAATAATTAGTTAAGACACGGACTTCGATACATCTATATAAACAAAGTATGCAAGCCTATATCCATTTATCCAATTAATTTCCGGGTATCTTTTAAAAGGGGTAATAATTCCCAGATCACCGACAATCTTACCTGTGATAAAAACAACCTTTCCGCTTGGCTCTATTTTTACTGATCTTCGAAAGTGCAAGATCATATAAATTCCCATGCAACAAAAAGATGACACTATCAATAAAAAGATACACATTTCGACATACATGTTCCGTCGGCTAATGATGGTATACAACGTGCACCTGGTAGTGTTATTAGATCTTGCTGGGTAACGGGGAACGTGTTGACTACGCTATAAATATATTTGATTAGTACTTATAAGCACCTGTCAGGACATGAAACAACGTTTACTTTCATTTTACACATTTATCATCATTACTTCAAACGAAAAAAGAAATGATTTCAAATCAAAATTAGTTAATTTTAATAAGATATAACTACGGGCTTGGATGACTGTACCGTGACACTAAAGTTATCTTAACTGTTCAGTAAATCGCCAGTCTGATCTAGCTTATAAAGCTGTATCTGGCCTGTAATTATTGGTGCACGTGGTGACTTGTTATGAAGAGTTCTCATGTGGAGGTAGGAAAAGTAAGCGTTGGTACCAACAACATGGCGACTACGGATCAGAATTCCAATTCAGTGCTTCAAGGGATTGCCCGGCATATTAACTGTTTAAGTGAAGATAACAGAAATACAAGAAAGCGAGCTCTGGAAGGAATACGAAAGGACACCATTGGTCGGAAACCTCCTCTCGAACAAACGGATATTGGTGTCGTATTTAGTGAAATAATCAAACCTTTGTTGAAATGCTTTTCAGATCCTGTTGAAAAATGTCGCGAACTTGCTATACTTCTTGTGAAAGATGTTTTAAAAGTCATCTCAGAGCCACACGAAAGCCTTCCTTACATCATCCCTATCCTTGTCCAGCGTCTTGGACAACAAGATATCGTGGAATCCTCAGAGGAATTACGATTAGAATTAGTGGGACTGTTGCTTGATATTATAGAATTTTCTGGAAAGAAAATGGCAGCATATTTAGATGATTGTATAAAAATATTAACAAAAACCATTATAGACCCTTTTCCGGAGGTACGAAAGGAAAGTTGTAAATGTGCATCCAAACTGGCTAAAGCCATTCCAGAATATTTTCAAATGATGTCAGAGTTGCTGATCAAACCATTGCTGATGACAATCACACACCAACATTCACGAGTCAGGGTCATCGTCATAGAAACAATTGGTAGGTATTTCCAGCTAATAAGATCAATTAGTGGGTGTTATGTTTAGGCCTACTTGGTAAGTCAAAGAAATACACTTACTATACAATTTGGAAGCTCAGATATGTTGAAGAACATTGCATTGAGTGGTTATACATATAATATGTGTAAGAATGAAAGGAATGATGGACCTCCTTGAGTTCTATTTAACAACATCTACACCTGTATCTGTAGGGGTGCATTTTAGATTCCCAGATGGTCATGAGCCATTATATTAAGGAAATGTAGAAACTTTGATGGGGCAGTCATACAAGTGTTCTGAATTTTGATGACCAATGCAGTTTTTTTTATAGTAGCTGGTAAAATAGGTAAAGAGAGCTGCAGATATAATACATAAACTGTTATAGGGTATTATCAAAAGGAAGCCATTATCAATTTGAAGACAAGGTAGCTAATAAGTCTTTAATTTATGTATGTTGTAGAAAATGAAGATATTATAGATTTATACAATAATTTTACTGGTCGTTATAAGGGGGGGGGGGGGGGGGCTAATTGTTTCCTCACTAAAACAATGTTTGTGGTGTTTTCAGCTATTTCACACAGTCCCCAGACAGGATACAAATGTTCATGTTTCTTTGTTTCAGGTGATGTAATTTTGTATGGAAATGGTAAGTCTGTGGAGACCGTTGTTTCTCATCTTGCACAGCGATTATTCGACCAGTCACCTGCTGTCAGGAAAGCGGTTATCAAAGTGGTAGGCACCTGGCTTCTTGACCTGCCTGATCGCTACTCCTTCCATCACAAACTGATCCCTCTCCTGCTGACCGGCATCACAGATGAACAACCAGATATTCAAGAATTGGCTGATACCTTGTGGTATGATACAGGTAAAACTGTTATGAAATAGTTTAGGCAAGTGAAGTTAGAAATAACAATAGGTAAAAACTGTATTTCATACAAGATTTATAAAACAACAAATGCTGAAGTTTTTTTATCTTATGAAGCCTCATGACAAGCTGAAATAAAAACTTTGACTAGTTTTATAAACTACATTCTGAAATGAAAAGAAATATATTAATCCTTTTCATCACATGATAAGTTGTATTTGTAAATAATGCAATGTTCTTTAATCTTTGTCAAACTTGAAATCACCAAGACATATCAATAACCTCTTTTGTGATTTCACAATGTAATTTGTTAGTGAGTGACATCATTGCTTATGTGAAAATATTACATACTAGGTATTTAGTTATTTCACTGACTGGCACTGCAATCATGTGGTAGATACTGTATGCACTGGATGTATTGACAGTCCTTATATATGATGGACTGATACCTGACATCGGATGGACTGTGGATTCACTGAATACAGTGTTACCAAATGTTTGTTCTGGATGCCACTCATTTCATGTGAACACTCATCACAGTCACTTTGATAATATTATTTAGCTTTTTCAAGTCAAACTTCAAACCTGTGTAGTCCATGTTCTTTGATAATTACATCATTCAGACAGTAAAACTAGGAGTTGCTGTACTTGATATGGTCAACTTTCCAGAGTTCATGTATATCTGTTTTTAAAAGAATACCTCTATTTCAAATTTAAGGTATGAAGTATGAAAAAGAGAATGAAGACGAACTAAAAGACAAAATAGACTTTGAAAAGGAAACACCTCAGCACTACCCTCCAAATGGTAAGTTTCATTAAATCATGTTTTAGTATGAAACAATGACAATAGTTTCTTTGGCCACCACACCAGAAGTTTGACTACTATTCTTGTCATGTGAAAATGTAAAATTGTCAAATATTATTTGGAGTCATGAAGGTTTTGGGATACAAGCAAACTAGGTATGTTACAATGTAAAACTTGCCTAAAACAGAACAATAAGTTTGATATCTATTCCAAACTTCTCATCTATGCCAAGCTTCTGTTGTTTTCCTCCTGTGCTACACAGTCTATCACATTCTACAAATGCTAGAAATTTCCTAATTTGTCCTTTACCATTGTGTTGATATTGCTTTAGCGTGAAATTTATGAAAGTAAAATGCATTCTGAAGGAAGTTATTAGACTGTGATTAAATGATGTATCAACATTTTAGAATTGTTGTCAGACTTTTTATATTATTTCTTTGAACTACTTCTCAGAACTCAGAACTCAGAATATATATATATTCAAATGTCGAGATATGGTTGGACTATTGCAGTGGAAAGACCCAATTTTGGATGTCGCACTTTGATGATGCGCCATTTTTCAAAGATTCTGCCTGGGTTGATGCGTGATGTTTTGGACTGGGTGGTAGAGACAAGAATAAAATCTGCCTCTCTCCTTTACACCTTGCTAATCAATACAGAAGACTATGTAACTCAACACCTGGAGCCCCTCCTTACTGGGATGTATCGCGCCTCTGTGGACGAAGAGAAAAGTGTTGTCAGCAATGTAAGCTTGATATTCATAATAATAATATATCTATCTATATATAAATATATAAATGTGCATTGATAGATGACAATGGCAATTTAAACAGAAGGAAGCATTTGACATTGTCTGTAAAATTTAAACACAAAAAATAATGTTCAACGACATTGTCTATGAAATATAAATACAATGACATTGTCTATAAATTTAAATACTATGATATTGTCTATAAAATTAAGAAACTATGACATTGTATATAAAATTTAAATACTGTGACATTGTCTATGAATGTAAACATTATCATACGATATTGTTGACATTTGGGTAGAAATAATGCAATGGTTTACAAGATTTAATCTCTGTCAGAAACTTCAGTTTGTAGAAGGATTTAGTCTAATGTTACAGCATTATGTTTTGATCCTTATTCAGATTAAGAAGTCCGCAACATTGGTTGGCTATTTTGTGTCTCCAGACATCTGGTCTAAACTTGTGTTCAAGGCGGTGAGGACAACCCAGTCTTTTGGTTGTGTAATGGTCTTAGGGGGAGTGGTTAAAGGCACTGAGCGTGCTTCACTCTTACCATACCTGGACAATGTGTGTGATGTCATTCTATCTCCAGATGTGTGTAACACTGTACAAGTAAGTATACAATTACATCTCCACAAAATTTATCATTTTAGAAAACGTGTTTAGATTTACAATGTGAGTCAATCTGTTTGGATTTACATATTTGATTAAATCTGTTTGGATTTGCATTTTTTAGTAAATCTGTTTGGATTTGCGTACCATATTAGAATACATTTATTATGTGTTTCAGTGAATATATTTTGATTTACATATTTTAGTAATAAATTTTGAATAAATACAATGAATAATTTTATCAGTCAATATCAGCTTTTAATATTGTAATACACTGCTAGATAAATTGGTTCACTTTCCTTGCCCTTGAGGTATATACTGCTTACACTGTCTACATTAAACACCAAGTCATTTTCTGTATTGTTGGCCTTTTATCAAAGAGTCTTGTCAGGTGTAACAACTCTAAATGGATACTATATGACTGCATTAACAGTGTTGTAGTGAATTTGCTGTCTGTGAGATAAAAGTAATAATGTTGGGAACTTTCTTTGACAACTCCAGGTAATAATTTCAATGATTTCAAAGAATATCCCAGGATTTAGGCAGACTGTTTTCAAAGATGCTTAACTCACCAGACATGTACAGAATGAAGTAACAAAACCATTATTGATCATTTTAACTGGCTGTGACTTATATCATGCTTTGTCAGGTACAGATGCATAAGGAGCTGTTGTCTTGTGTGGAGGGAATACTGACAGTAGCTCAAGAGGATGCTGGATCTGTTAGTCAGAAACTCTTCAATCTCCTCCTGACCATTCTTGCTCAGGCCCAAGATCAAGAGACTGCCGATAAGGTAAACAAATCTGTATTCATAAAATGTTTGTTTCACCAGATAGATCTTAAAAAGAAAAAGAAAGACATACAAAAGACAAATGAAAGTTGAAAAAAATCAAGTAAATTATCAGCTCTTCAGCTGAAATTATAACCTTACTCTGTATCATATCCTTTTCATCACAGAGCTAAGTTGTCTAATGTCACACCTTGTTTGTGTACACATGACTAGGTTTACCAGCTCCTTGATGAACTATGTAAAGTTCAGACCATGGAGTCAAGAACACAACTCTTCAATTGCCACACCCGACCTCTCCTCGTTGGCTTCACAGAAACATTTGGCATGTGGAACCTTCATTCAGTCGAAAGACAGATTTTTGACACACTAGTCCTTGAAGCAGGTACAGTAAGACAGTATGATAAGATAACTGCATATCTGTGAGATTTGTGTTATAAAGTAGTAATGTAGTGGCACTGTAAAGGTAATGTTTTAGTATAAAATTACAGTGTTATGCCAGTTTTAATGTCCAGGTGTAATGTCTTTGTATATAATTAGGGTGTAATGTTTGGAATATGGTGTCATTGTACAATGACGTTTATACAATATTGCTTGTAATATTGTAGTAGAAGGTGTATTATCATAGCTCATTATTTGAATGAAATTTGTCAGTATTAACATATAGAAACAAGCTGATATTCAAACTTGTATTTATGATAGCATTATGTTGGTGTCATGCTTTTGTTATAATCCCCTGATCAGCTTACTTACAGAACATGTGATTTATACATTCTTAGATTGCTCTTAGATAATCAACAGGCTTAGGTTCAGAATTGTCGGTCCAGTGACCAGGATCATGTTGATTTCAATTCAGGTTTAAGGTCTTTTAAACAGTCAGCATTACATGAAAACAGTGTCAATGTCTGTGATTGGTTATCACATGGTTCATTTATGTGGTTGTTACAGGGCCTGTCATTGGTGACCTTCTTGATGACATCATACCAGTTATGGTGGCTAATTTAAATCCTGAGAAAGACCCTGAAGTGAGATTGAAGTTTTTCTCACTGCTATCCAAGCTTGTAATGACTGCACCCACTACCATTGACTCACAGAATAAGTTTGGAGACTTTGCTGCTATTGTTGTGAAGGATATGATCATTCCCAACTGTGTTTGGAGTGCAGGACGGACAGCAGGTGCCATCAGGACCACAGCTGTCTCCTGTTTGTGGGCACTGCTACAGAGTGGTCTGCTTTCACAGGAAAAGGTAAGTTCAGGCAGCAGCATATCATCATACATTTTGTTCAATGTTTTATTGCATACAGGGAAACATTTGCCAAGGGTTTTCTTTCATCCAATGCTAAATTCATTCATAGATACATGAAAACATTTATCAAGCTTTAACATGAAACTTCAGGCAACCTTTTATTTTTATCAATATAGTTTATATATCAAGTGATTACTACTGACTTAATACATCTGGCCACTGTTACAGACTAATGTTAATATACATATCTTTGTACAGCTGGCCCCAGTTGTTGAGGACCTTCTTACCCAGATGATCACAGCAATGGATGACAGCAATAAGAGCACACGTCTCATTGCCTGTCGTGTGTTGACAAGAGTGTTTGAGCTCAGTGGGCCTTCCCTGGAACTTGATCGTCTCCACAACATATATCCAGAGTTACTAAAACGCCTTGATGATAGTGACGATGAGATTCGCATAACAGTCGCTAAGACATGGCTTGGATACCTTGGAAGCTTTGATGGACGCTATGATGCTGGTCTGTACAAGGCACACGTGGAAGCTATTTACAAAGGACTTCTTGTTCATTTAGATGACCCAGACGCCAGGATCCAGAAGGCTATACTAGGTAGGTAATGTATAGTGAAAAAGTCATCCTTAAATAGAATGTGATGTATAGATATCCTGAATGGAATATATAGTTGATGCACAAATTATGAGATTTACTGGCCATCTTATATTTTGAATGTGATTTACAGACTGTCTTATGTTACTATATCTGTATGTGTGCACATCATACATACATTGTGATCACATTGTCCACAACTAATTATATGGATTGAAAATTAAACGGAAAACTTGTGTAGTTATGACACAGAGGTATTAAAATTGATCAGTGGTATACGTGACATGTCAGGATCGGTACTGACAACACTTAAAATTTACTGGAGTGCAGTGTATATATTTTTTGTTTACAATATTATTGAAAAATGACAGTAAATCTTAACAGATTTTTGGCTTAATTAGGAAATATACTTAATTATACTCTTATATGCATTGAAAATAAGAAATCTCTATCCCACATTTATTTATAAGTCATTTCTAAATTTATATCAACCACAATAGAATCACACATCTGTGTGTGGTAGAACCACACAACATACACACAGATGCTTATTTTAGTCAGTTTTCCTATCGTTCACACAAATCGTGCACACATTGTACATCATGTAATGTTGTGTGGTCCCACAGCTGGTAAGGTACAGACCATCCGATGACTAACTTGATCTACAACCAATTCTAGGCAGGAATATTAAAACAAGCCTGATATGTATAAATCACCCAAGGTAGACAAGTGTATAAGACCATGCCAGATAAACTAATACAGACTGTGCTATACATGTACCTGATATACCGTTCATGACTCCATCCTATACATGTGTGATACACAGACCTGAGACCGTCCTAGGTAGACATTGATATACCGTCCATGACTCCATCCTATACATGTATGATATCCAGATGAAAGACCGTCCTAGGCAGACAGTGATATAACATCCAAGACTCCATCCCACGCATGTTATGTGTGATACACAGACCTGAGACCATCCTATTTTATGATGTAATAAGGTCTCCTTGAAGTAGATTTTCGACTATAAGCATTATTAGATTCATTTAGAACTGTGAAGCATTACTTTATGATAGTATCTTGATAAGGTTTTTGTTTTAATTTCAACTTTAACCTTGTGTAATTTTGGTGGGTTTTTTTATTACAGAGGTACTGTGTTCAGCTGCAAGCCTTATCCCAAACATGCTGATAGGAGCCATAGAGGACATTAAACACAAGCATCGTTCACAGCAATACTGTGAAGAACTATTGTCCTACACAAAGACTCTCATCTCATCCTAATCACACTGCCATGCATGTTTCATAATCATCACGTTCATTTAGATTGAAAATTATGGTTACAATACGAAATGTACTATTTATTTTGTAATAAATTTGTGGATAATTGGATTTGTTACTTTGTAAGTATGATGCTTCAAGTTTGGATGGAACACATATCAATAAGACTCATTATTTATCATCTGATAAAAGATTTAATTGTTTATTTCTTTTCATATCTATTAATCAAACAAATCAGAAATATTTCCTTTTAAGAATTCTTAAAAAAGTTTCATGAGAGACTTTGCATATACATTACACATGGTAATCAAGAGGCTTATCTGCCCTTATAACAATGTACATTCATATACGTCATAATTTTGTTGAACCGAAAACAAAGTTTTTCAGGGGCTGAACACATCTTAAAATTGTCCTGATGAAGCCTGGACCGGAGGCGAAACTAGTCGACAATAAAGTCTAACTACTCACTAACTGGTGACACTTGATATTTGTTGCGATCGACCCCTTAACGTTCTTATATGTATATATTCCGTTTAATTGCTCTGCATACACCTAGGTATCCGATTTCGAGTGAAGTACCACACTGTACAACACACCTACCTGGATATCGACGTTGGCTCTGTATACCCTGTTTAATGATATATATTTAGTACATTTGTAATATGTACATGTAATTTGACATATGCACTTAGGAACAATATCCATAAGGGTGTAGAGACAACACCGTGCTTCTCATGGTGGTGTGGGTTCTGTTATTCCTTGCTTGGATACCTTCCAGGTATGCACGGTGATTGAAAAGTAGAGGGAACTAAAAGGTTAAAATCAATCCTAACAAGCTCAGAATGATAAGATGATGAAGCCTACATGTTTCGGGTGAAACTGGTAGACATATAATACATTGCTCTTATCATCCTGAACTTGTTGCGATTTATTTTTATCTTTTACTTAGGAACAAGATCCATAAAATAAGGAACCCATCACAGCAAGTCCATGTTGGACTTATTGGACTGTATTGGTTCCATCAATTACAATGTCCAGGTCACAAGCAGACATTTTAGGACCCTGATGGGGAAATCAGAACATCATATAGTAAACTTGAAAGTTTGTCCATGGTTCTTATCCAAAACAATCAGGAATTCTTATTAACCAATGTAGTGTCCCTTTCCATCAACACACAACTGACAAAGCACTTGGTATTGTTCAGAGCCATCTATAGCAATCAGGTCAAGGCAAAAGAATACCAATCTCTTTGTCGGAGACATCAAGAATTTACTTGAATTTGTGCTTACAGCACTACATTTTTTCTTCTGAGATGGATCTCTTAGCAACAGTATGGCACAGCTGTGGGCAGACCATTGTCTCCGATTTTGGCCAACATGGAGCACATAGAGAAAGAAGACATTCACATCTCTTAATTAAACTGATCAGATATATTACATTCTAGTGGGCCACTGCAGAATGCAAGCCTAGTTTGTGGAAATGATATCGTGACTTATTTGAAGTAGTCAAGAAAGGGTCACAGAAGGAATTGTCTGAGCATATCAATACCACTGATACCAACAACACCATTCACCTGAAGAAATCGATGACACTAGAGTGCCATTTCCCGACACCTTTCTAGTAAAGAAAGATGATGGTACAGTGTGTACTATCAAAGCATAGGAGAAAGACAACACACATACCACTACCTCAACTTCCAATCACACCAACCATTAATATACCAAAAATGTGTACGACAAACTTTGCTAAACAGTCATGATCAGAGAACAAGACAAGAAGCAAGATCAAAGTCACATCCATAGCATCATAAAAACATGAATACCTTGTATACCTGATCGGGCAACCAAGAAGTTAACAAATTTGATGAAAGCAAAAAGACTGAGAGATGAAACACCAAGGAAAAGAACAAAATGAAAGACCAGGTAGTCGTCCCTTAATTACATTAAAGGCTTGTCAGAAACCATTCAGTGGAATTATAGTGGTCATATTATTTCAACAGCTATGAAACCTCTCGAAAATGTGAAAGTCCATCCTTAGAATAAAATACTCAAAGAGAATGCAAATGAAAAAATTCGGATATAAGAACTGCAATGCACCAGAGATTTGGTGTCTGGCATAATGAACAACAGAAAAATGCAGAATCCTAAGAAGGCAAAAGCGGGCGGAGGAGGGGTGCCCTTGTACTGTATGGATTATCTCACATTTTTAACATCTCTTGTGTACTTCTATTTTTTCATATTATGCTTACCATCTGATCACATGTGCCTGATGAAGGTGACCATGTTGTTATCAAAACTTCACATGATAAAATCTTCTACAGGTTACATGTTATAATAAAATCTATAATACAAATGTATGGTAGATAACTAGTGTAGACACAGAGATTCTATACCATATACTCTGTAGCTGGTAAACACTTGTCTTTATACTTTTTGGAGAGTGATGTGAAAGCTTGGATTTACAGAAAACAGAAAGCACTTACAGTATTGTAAGTTTTGTTTTATTTTGATAAGGAATGTAGAACATTTAGATTTCCACATCAAGATGAGACATATACAAATTTTATTTGGCTTTCATGCCTGTATATATAGTTATCTAAAACATGTAAATATTAGACAACATTCTACCCTTATTTACAATCATATACTTTAGAAAACATCTAAACAAAAAATGTGTGATATCAAATCAAAGTTAGATGACCACAAACCTCATTTTCATGGAGAGTTTGAAATATAGGACTCAGCTGGTTTTTATATAGATCTCTAAAAGTTGTCACTATCATATGACTTTCACTCAAACTTAGCAATAACTAATTCAGAAACACCAATTACAATTATTTTCTACTATGATTTGTCACTAAAAAGATACAGAAATATCACAGACAATTCTTGAGTCATTGTAAAAAAAAGCTAAAAGTTAATGTTTATGGTACAAAAAGTACATTCAACCAGGAATGTTCTCAATACAACAATAAAATTGAGATATAACAAGAAGTATACATCTTAGTATGTAAACGATTCATACATACATACCAGCAGGTCTGATATGTAGGTAATATAAGAAAACGGCCATTTAACTGTACTATATCTACCAACATGGAAATCAAATGTACACAGTATGCAGGTAAACAAGGGAACAAGCACTGGGTGTAGATATGAAAGTTGTCCACCTGTATATAATGCATGTAGTGTATTCCTATGCTGTTAATGTGTTCAAAACTATCTTAAAAGCATTCTTTATCTAAACATTGGAACTAAAATCAGAATTTCAGGTCATATAACAGGCCAGCATTTTCACTCGATGCTAGTACTTATGGTAGATTTACTCCAAAATAACTGAAGTTAAACATTTCTCAACCACACAGACGAAAATCTTGGGGCAAGACACAGTTTTACGGGTAAAGGGATTTAGATATTCTTTATATTTTTTTTCTATTTTTTTTTCACTACATTTCCATTTCTAAAATATCTTAATTAAATTTTGAAACAATATTAGTCCTGTAACAGCTTAATTACAAACGCATTTGGAACAATTTGTACTATATAATAAATAATATGTACATTGTATGACAATGAACATATACCAGTAGAAAATAGAGATCAAATCAGTTTGCTAAAGCAGGAAACATAACATCTCGCTCAATCTTGAGAAATAGCATATACATTGATTGTTTTTACTGTAATATTGCAGGTAAAAACCATATTCAACACCATACAATATCCTATCAAAATTTCTATTGTGTGCATATTCCCATTAGACAGCGTCTTGCCCCTGTGACAAAAACTGTCTTCGAAATTTATGTAATGAGATGTCTTACATACACATAATCCTTAATGATAGGTAAAATATCAACCTATATTATATCTACATGAATGTATAAATGATCCTAACAAGGTGTATGCCAATGTCTGATGCACCCAGCACAATTAGACAGACAAGTATACAATGGACAATTCTACTTCAGATTGCTTACTAAAACAAATCCTTATACCCTTTATAAACTTAACAACATAAGGAGAATTTTCCTGAATAATGATACAAAGCTGATGTCAGAATGTTAAAAAAGACAAATGTCTATATATATATAGAATACTGAAAATGAAATCATTTTGTTGGGAAATCCCTGCAATACTAGGAAACTGGGCATTTCAAGAGTTTAACATGGCCTTCTTTATAATGACTACTTACAACACCATACTGTACATTCTATAGCGCTAGGTTACAATTGGTCAATCTCCGCACCTTGTAGCAAGGATACATAGTTTTGTTGTCTGTTCTAAAAAGCTTGACTTTGCCAGTCTTAGTAAGAAGAAAGCATAATGACACTGTTATCCAGTTCCAAGAATCTTCAGTCTATTCCATCAAATTAAGCTCTCTATGCTGTACTATGTGGAATGATATCACAATCGATTCCTTGGACAAGTCATGTTATCTCATGTGAATATGTTATAATGACATCCCCATGTTCAAAAGTTTGATCATTGTAACCTCCAGAGAGAACATCGATTTTAATTAATTGGAGAATGAACAAAATGATGGGACGGAATCTTGATACATATGAACTTAAGATGCACGTCACAGTCATGGATTACCGGGTGGCCGTTTTAGGTTTTCCAACCACAAATGGTGTCACTGTGGCTGTAAAGAAAATGGTAATTGTTGTTTCATTTTTATAGGTTAGGGAAAAATCAACAAAGGTTTCAGTCAATAGAATATTTAATAATTATGATCAGCAATGGACCACAGCACATCTTTAATATTGGAATTAGATCAGATAACATTATGGTTCTTCAAATGTTCTATCAAAAACTATCTGAAAAAATGATTACTAGCTACCAAGATTGTACAACTACACTCATTTCTTAAAATAAAAGGAGAAGTAGATGTTTAACATAAATTGTAGAGTTAAATCAGTTGACTTGGTAATCTACAGATTATGATGCATTTCAGCAGTGGTCATTTTTCCTATATTTCTCAATGATAGGTCAAAGTCACATGCAAAAATTATGTAAATGTAAACTTATTTTAGATGATTACATTTTTCATAATGTCTACTTACGCTTACTATTGGCTGTCTTATCAGTCTGTGCTACTTTAGACTGGTAAAGTGCTCTGAAAGACATCAATGAATATTTCAATCAAAACAAGACAATAACAATTTACTTTTATTATCACAACTGTTTTCTTTTAATTGAAAATATTTTTTTCTTTATACAAAGCATATCCCATAAACAGATGATTTTGTACTGAACGATTGAAGCAGAGACCTTTGTTACTTGATTGCCAACCATAATGTGGAACATATTTAATGTCCAATCCATAAAATTGAAATTGTTGTTAACCTTTATTACCGTTATATGGACAATCTTATGTAGTTATAATGTAGTTACAATGTAGTTAAATAATAAAGAACAGAATGAATTAAATCATAAACTTAGTTAAGATAATTAACAGCTTTAATTGGTTTACTAACCTGTATTGCCTAGATTGTGCCAGGAAGCGTCGAGCCATTGCTATTTCTGCTCCTAGTCTGCGTAGATCATCGCCCTCAAACTCAGGCAGGTGGGGATACTTCAGAGTTAAAAAAACAATGGTTATTGTATATCATAGAAACCCAGTAATTTCCTGTAATATTTCACTGATACAACCATTAACAACAGACCTTATATTTCCACTTGTTACTGTATTGCATTTTAAAATTTAATACAGAATTTTAAAAAAAATTCACAAGATCAAACATTGCCTGTATTATACAAGATCGAATACAGTATGTGTCAAATTAACTATAGGATTAGACTTAGAACAAAGGGTGCCCAATAATGTTAGTAATATGTAAGACCAAAAATTAATTAATTTCCTTTCAATTATAGAAATATGCTACTAAAAATAATATACTAACATTTAATTTTGTAACACTATTTGATTCATAGAGTATCTAGCTTTACAATTTTATGTGAATGTGATCTTACCTCTGTGTCAGTGAAGCCTTCTGTCAAGAGTTTGTGAGCAAACAGCTGTGCATCAAAGTCGCTCTGAATCTTATGGAATCGACCACCTGTCTCCTTGCTCAACATTCGTAGGAAATTATTGGCCGTGCTACAAAAAAAAATTAGGTAACCAATACTGGAGGCAAAATCGCAACTCTAGCCAAAATAGCAGTTTAAGGAACTAGTTTACTTGTCTAAGTAGGTGAGAGAGTTAACATGGCTTAATTAACTGTTTTAATAAGGAGGTTACCAGTCTTTGCAAGTAAGAGAGTTAACATAGTTTCGTTGTTTTGAAAAGGAGTTTACCTGTCTGAGCAGGTGAGAGAGTTAACCTGGCTTATCAGTTGAAGGAGTTTACCTGTCTGAGCAGGTGAGAGAGTTAACCTGGCTTATCAGTTGAAGAAGTTTACCTGTCTGAGCAGGTGAGAGAGTTAACCTCGCTTATCAATTGAAGGAATTTACCTGTCTGCACAGTTGAAAGAGATGGTGTTGATTTGTACATTCCTGTTAATGTTCATCTCTCCCACTTCTCGCAACACAAGCGTGGTACTAGAGTCAGGTTTACCATCCGTCAACATATAAATGGCTTCAATCTCAGGGTCCTGGAAAGCTAGCTGTGAGTGACATACAAATGTATTTTTGTTTTTAAGCCACAGATATCATAAAAGTTTCCAAGTCAAATTATATAGATAACACAATTTATTGTCTCAAGGAAAAATCAGAAGATCTCTATGTTAGTTGGAACATATTTACTGTCAGTGTTTATATATTATAAGGCAATTAAAGTAGGAGAATAACTTTTAAAGTTTGCTTTTTATTGTATTAAAAATGTAATTTTACTTGTTACAACAGATTGGAATTGTTAAATGCAGATAGATGTATTCAAATAGAGTATTTATTAATACTAAAACAATCAGAGGACATTGAAATTTACCCTAAGAGCCTCTAATGTACAGGTGTTACCACCAGCAGTCAGTCTGGATGTCCAGTTTACAGCACTGTGACAGTGTTCCTGTGTTGCATGCTGTATACTCCTACTCCAGACCTCACAGTCGCCAGAAAACCTCATAAGATTGAACCTGTAAAAGAGAAAATCAGACCACACAACATTTAATAAAGACCTGCAGTAGAGAGTGAAAACTGCTAGTTTGTGACTACAAAAGGTACTTATTACAATGAAATTGGGCAATACTAGACCAGGAGCTTGCACCTGAACTGTTAATCAGACATGAACAGAATGCATGTTATCAACAAACATCTATAAAACTTCTATAATCAGGACTTTTGAGCCTACGATTACTTTCTGAGTTTGGTTCGAAATCAAAATACAAGTCTTGATAGATATGTATACATAATGTAACGATTAGCCATGTATATGAAAATGAATCAGCATAGTGTTGCATACAGGGCAATTTCTTTGATTAAGGAACTCATACTGAGAATAACTCAAAGCAATCGTTCAAAGAATTTTTATTTTTCTTATGGATTCTCTGTTTGGTGTCTACATTATATAATGTACATGGACCATCTATGCTGTATGTTCTGCAGAAGACAAAAGTGAATTTTGACAAGAGACCTTTCTCAATATTGTGGTAAAACACAGAGAAGTGTCAATATCTACAATTGACATTATTTTCTGCAAGATGTTGAAAGCATGTAAGCAACATGTTTGGCATTATGATCAGAGACTGTTTTATACACACAGCTAATCACAGAATAGACCAGTTTCTGACTACATATAACAAAAATAAACCATACTCAGATCTAGAAATGACTTTGTAAAACATACCTTGCCCCCAGTCTGTACAACTGATCCCAGATCAGAGCAGCTACTTCCTTCTTCAGCTCATTCATGTAGGGGTCCATTGATCCAGAGGTGTCAATTAGAATCACACACTTTTTGTGGATCAACGTCCCAAACACCCGACGACTTCCTGTAAGGTAGGAAAATATAATGGTACCCATCTCTTTACACATAATAATGACTGAAGGAACATTGCATATCTTTAATACATTATTACAATAACAAGATAATAATCACTTGTCACAAATTCAACCTCAAAACTGATTCAATGAGAACAAAATATGAGGCAAGAGTACGAGATTTAAGGACAAGACCATGCAGGCATATTGGAGAGGAAGACCCGACATCTTTTGCTCCATCAATGACATTTATCGTGTAAATCTACACCAATCCAAACACATATGTAATGTCATGTTCTCAAAATGGCAACAAAGCTAAAGCACAAAATACATCTTACTTATTGGGACAAAGTTAAACTTGGAGAGGTTATTGAGATAACACTTTGCTAGACTCACCACTTAGGAGCCATTGTAGACGTTTTAGATAACGGCGCAAAACTTTCTCAGTCTGTGCTTCATAGTCCTTTAACTCATGTGGAAGCAGCTGAAGATGTTTTATTGTGCCTTTAACATTCACTGTAGGGAAAATGTCACAATACCTAGGAAAAATAAAGTAAAACATTACCGAACACACTGGAATTAGTACCGACTTCTGGAGAAAGTCCTGATTAAATAGAAACCATTGCATAGCTTAACCATTCCACATCAATATTTCATGTCAGCCTTTAGGAAGGAGTCACTGATCATGAATTAAAATCTAATATACTATTGTGGGAGGATGATAAATCCTTGTCTAGACATGTAAATTCATGCAAAACTTCAAACTACATGTACAGACCGTGAGTGTTACACAAACTTCACCCCAGAACACCAGCACAAACTTGTGTGATCAACAGAGCTATGAATACTTACTTTGCAGAGACGTTTTTGTGGAGACTTTTCACACTGTTCTCCTTGTGTTTACAGTCAGGTCCAGACACCAGTCGGTTGAGGTCAAGTTTGAGCTTTGACAAGCTGTACAGTCTCAACCACTAAAGATAAAGATTTTGTATAATTAGAAATATATTTATGAAATAGAATTGTTAAATACTGATACAGAACAAGGGCACATATTTCACTTTATTGTTGCTACCACAGAATATCCCATATTGTGCTTTGAACTTGTTATACCTCCTTGGATGTTTGGACATCCTCATGGTCTGGGATGTTAACATCTACCACACCTCTCCTTACAGATTTCATGGCTGGGTATTTCCTGAACACAGTGCCTGTAACACGAAACAATAACAAAAGCTTAAAGAATGTAGAACAATCTTATACATCATGGTTAATTCATTCTTAGAAGTTTACTGTTGCTTTACATACAGAATATCATGATTAAAATATCCCTGAATAGGATTTCACTTTCAGTGTGACCTGCCATTAATGCATATCCTAGGTGTGACTTACATCTTTCGTTATCTACAAGACAGTGTAACTTACGACCCTAATGTGACATCAATATCACCGAGATCTGCATCAATAATGCAAACTAAAAAAAAATCTTCTCTCCTATGTGACTCACATTTATAGTAAGACCTTCATCTTCAGTAGGAACTATATCTCTCCTCCTACACACTAAATGTCGTCTACACAAAGTGTGACCTACATCTTCCATTACACTAAATGTGCCCTACACAAAATGTGACCTACATAATACATCTACATGTCTATGCCAGTCATACCTGTTCCATCCCCAGTTTGGCCTTTATTGTTGTCCAAGAAAAAGCTTGAAGTTGCTACTTTCTTAGTTTTGACTCGTGCCATGGGATCCTTGGCTGAGATAGGTCGTTCTTTGGTTGATGTTCGAACTGATGCCTCCCGGGCTGTTGTAGCACTTGTTGGTCGCTGTAGGCGTAATGATGTCATGGTCTCCTTCTCATAGTCGGTACGTGAACTCCTCTACACAAACAAAAAAAAAACAAACAAACAAATAAAAAAACAAGGAAATATAATGAACATCCATTATTCACATATATATAATTTTATTATTGTAACTTTAATTGGCTTCAATTGACAAATGCATTCTTTATAAAATCATTTTATATATATAATAGTAATATTTGCAATGAATTTTTCATATGAAATTTACATCTGAATTACAACAAATATTCAGAGAATAATTACATAAATTATTATTTATCTGTTAAAATTACTTTTAGTAGTGTTTCATTAAGCACTGTTACAATTATCACTGTGTATAAAAGACCTTTTATCGCCAGAAGAGTAGTTATGATTATTGTTTACCGATTTAGTCGGCTCACTGGGAAGCCTTGGTGCTGGTAAGGCACGATTTTTTAGATGTGAAAACTCAGGAGCTGGTAGTGCCTTTATCTGGTCTAGGTATTGGTGGTGCTGAAACAGGGACAAATTTCATAACCACGTACATGTAAATTAGACAATGGTTAATATTTCAGGTCTAAGTCAAGGACAATGTACTGAATACTTTGTTTATCTATATACTAATACTGATAACATTCCTAAATATCTGCTCCTACATCTTAAGTAACTATAAAGAACACCATGAAAAAGATATATCTTGTCCCTAAACGAAAATACCTTGTACATTTATATACAAATCTGAGTGCTTCCTCAAAACACTATATGTTACATTCATATATACAAATCCTTACTACTATAAATACTTATCAGTAGATACATACATATCTGTCCCTGTACTTCTTTTTGACAGACTCCACTAACATCTGGACCTTTCTGGAGAAGTTGAGTGCCTTGTCTATCTCAGCTGTAATGTGTTGGATGTCATCGTTCTCAATGATACCTAAAATGTAACACACCTTACCTCATCAACTGAACTTTGTAAACTATCCTGAGTAAAGGTCAAATGTCTTGAATTGGTTACTTTGTGAATATTAAATAATTCAAACATGAACTTTTCTATATTTAATCCACTGTTGACAAATGTTTACAAGTATGATGATTGTGTCTGAAAACAAAATACTTACATGTATAATGATAATTTTTTACATAGTATGTGGCAATCAAAATAATTTAATATCTATAAGCTAAGCCAAATTTTAAAAAATGTAGTTGGTTTGGTGAAACCTGCCCGAACCAGAAAAATAAAAATTTGTATTGCAATAGGAAAATGAAAAGCATCTTTCAAATGCTTGAAAGAGATTACAAGAAGGAATGATTCATGCTACTTTGTGAGTTACGATATTTTAGCAGCAAATTTGTTTTGGCCTATTAAGCATTCAACATGATGTATTATGATTGAACTGATAAACCTGTAGCGGTGTCCAAAGAAGACAACACTAAGATATAATAGATAAAAATTTGTCAGGGTAATTCCACAGGAATATTCCATTTTTTCATTTCAAATAAAGAGCATGCCATGCTTATGAATGTACACTAGGAACTGTGAAAAATACACAGTAATTGTTCAGAGGATGAAATTTTTCATCCATACTTTAGCATTGAAAGTGAATTGGATAATTTGAAACATGGTCAATTGATGGAAGCGAGCATAAACCAGTGCTAAAACATGGAGGAATATTTCTAAATTCATATGTCAAAGATGTCTGTGGATCAGAACTCACAGATATGAAAATGATCTAAGATATTTCAATATTTTTCTCAAGTACATGGATGTATTAAACATTACAGAAATAAACTCAGAATTCAATTTGAAGTCAATGGATATTAAGAATTAATATTGGTTCAAATAAAAATAATAAATTGATTTTTTGTAAGGAAGACTGTCACAATTTCACTGTTGGTAAATTTGTGGCAGTGATCAGTTATGTAGAAATACTGATAACCAATCTTTGACATGTTGGTAAATAATTCCATAATAAACAGTTGGATTGGAACTCCACAAAGATAATACAATCTGAGGGAAAAAGGTTCACTATTAAATTGAATTTTGCCAATTCCATGCTTATGTTAATTTGATAGCCAATGGGATGTCTTCCTCCAGATTTCAGAGATAATTCTACCGAGTGTTTTAGACTCATTGCAATAACAACACCATAAGCATTTAATTCTATACATTCATTGTAATATGGAAAACAATCTGGACCTGTCCAACCAATCAACTCTAATGACCACCTGGTTAGATGATGACAAACCAAGACAATTTTAATGATGACCCTTTAAACCACCATATATATCAATGTACCTGTTTCTCTGAACCAATGGAATCTTCCATTACTGCAGTGTGCCATGTTCCTCAGAACCTCCGACGTACGTGTGATATTAGCATAGCGACCAGGAATGGCTCCATTGGAGTTATAGTCATCCACGTTAAAGAGGACCACATGCAATTTGACATTCTTGCCTGATGTGGATTGTTCAATGAATGATGAAGCCACATCAAGGGTTTGATCAGGCACTCCACTGGTAAACAGATATATACCCTCCGGCTCTGTAATATACCAAATACTCAACATGTGTATATGTTTTAAGTGTTTGATAACAATCTTTTCTGTTACTTCAACAAATATTCTGAAAACACATTCAACAAACAGTTTTCTTGTTGGCTTCATAACATTGGGTTGATAGCCCTTCTGCAAAATCATAAACCTAATGTTATTTTTTTTAAATTACAAGAGAAGATATATAGCCGATCATGCTGATTTCTTTTTAACATTTAAAGAGGATAATCACAAAACAGTGTAAATATCACTGATACAGAAAAAAAGACAAAAAATCAGATCTACAGATTTGCATTTTAAAATTTGTTTCCAACAGGTATAATCAGGTAACTGCAAGTGAACTTGGATACATAAATATAACAAAACATTTCCTATTTAATCTAAAACTAAAAATCACCATAATGATCTATACTTAAAAGTGCCTGTCTAGTTATTTACCAATGTGGTGACTGGCTTCCTGCTCATTCTCCATGGCCAGTTTAAATGCTGACAAGAAGTTCCTACTGCCTCCACACTGTAGGTCCAGTACCCACCTTTATAGAAAACATACACAGTTAAACATTGGGTTCAAAGTGATAAACAGTAATGGTGTCAATATTATTCTTAGCATGCTTCTGCATCTCTGATATCGAACAATAGACACACAAATGAATAGCATCTTTTAATACAAAATTAGAGCGAGATAAGTAGAGCAAAACTACAAATTAAACTGCATCATACATGCAGCTGTACGGTCCTTCCATTGACTCGTCTGTGATGCTAAGAACCTAAAGTCTCAGAGTTGAATGAAGAAATGACAAAGTGATTGAAAGAAAAGTAAAAATCTAGAGGGGGAGGTGCATGAGCCTCATAATTCAATGAATTTTGTTATTTTCATACATTTGTTAATTTTGGAACAATAAAAATTGAGACCACTCATTTATCTTTCGCTTGAGAAAGTTAGCACAATTTGTCCTTACTTACTGGTAAAATCAACAAGGAGATGTAACAAAATTATACCATACCTCCAAGCGTCCTGAAGATTCTCAGCTGTTGGTTTCATCATGATAGGACGCCAACCCACTGCTTTACTTCCAAATCTAGAGAACGCATTGATAAAACAAAGAGATATATAAATAATCTTGAACAAAAAGGGGAAACACTTTCAAGACACAGATTTCTAGTACTTTTGAGGGCTCAACATTTTTTATGTAAAAGCATAGTCTAACAATATTAAAAGTTGTTGGTGAAATACCTTATTAACATGGCTCAATTACAAAATGACAAAATGGCAAAATGGCACATAAATTGACATGTGGCCCAGTGCGCAGTGACTGAAATGGCCTAGAAGAACATAATGTTTAAGAGGCCTAGTGACTCATCATGACAAAATGGTCCAATATCAGCAATAAAACATGATGATAAAATGGCCCAGGGATACATAGTAAGAAAGTGGACCGTTGACGTATGATCACGATGACAAACCGCCCAATAACACATCATGATAAGGCAGCCTAATGGCAATGATAAATCGGCCGAATTCAGCAGCTCAATGACACTTACGCTATAATGTTGAAGAAGTTTTTGTTGGCGAGTTGCTGCTCCAGCAGTAGCCTAAGTGAGTGTTGGATATGTACCAGGTAGTTAACATTAGACACGGACAGGTCCACCAGGATCACTACACTGTAAATACACATCACCTTAATTTTTAGAGTCCATGACTGAATTAAACAGTTTACTGTAATACAACAGATACAATATATGTATCAATATGAGAATACTAATGTTCTGTAATTATCAAATCAGAAATAAAATTATATTCGGTGATGTAAATCACTTATATTTCGTGTGGGATATATTTTCGTGTTAATATTCAAGAAGAGTTGAGCGCAACTTCAAAGTTCTCGCGATTATTAGTACAGAAATAATTCTTGATGGCACCGATGCTGATTTGGTTACAGATATCAGAATTCATATGTCTAACAGCCCATCATTTGCTATTTAAAGTCATTTTTTGATCATCGTTCACAAAATCATGTTTTCCTGAACACAAAATGTATGTACATAATTCTTGATGGCACCCATGCTGATTTGGTTACAGATATCAGAATTCATATGTCTAACAGCCCATCATTTGCTATTTAAAGTCATTTTTTGATCATCGTTCACAAAATCATGTTTTCCTGAACACAAAATGTATGTCTGAAGAGGTAAGTTCACAAAATAAAGTATTCATGAAATCTAAGTGATTTACAGTATCCAAATATTACAAAATCTCAATGATTGCATCCCTGCTAATATCAGTATGACTCACTTTTTCTCAGTAACTGTCCCAAAAATCCTTCTGCTGCCACAGGCTAGCCAGTTGATTCGGCGCTCGTACAGACCAACTACTTCATGGAGTTGTTTCTGGTATTCAAAAAGGTGAGTCATATCGACATGGATGTTCTTCATGGACCCATCATGCCACTGGAACTGTACCATGGCTTTCTGCAACACATACATCACCAGCTGTTGTGTATTAAAGCTTTAACTTTGTAAACACTCTAATTTGGTTTATTGTCTTTATAATTTTGAAGATTCTTCAGACAATATGTTTGTTATCACACATGCAGACAATAAACCCTCGGTAGACTTACCTCATGGACTTGGGACTGAACAGCCTTTTTGATGACAGGGATGAATTCCTCCTTGTACGAGTAGGCATTAGGAGCCAGGACTTGGTACAGGTCTAAACGCTTGGCTGTAATAGAACAGTTAATACCGCTTTATGCTCAGTTTTCATTAAAAGATTTTAAATAATATTTTCACACATTCAAGCAGCTCTTAATGAGAACTGTGCTGTACAACTATAATTATGATCTAGGAATACTGATGTTACCTTTAAGTCCATGTTGCAGGATCCAGTTGATAGAAGTTCTGGGCTGGAATTTTGGCATTTCTATACGTAATGGCAGATCATGACCTGGAGGACGGGGCAGGAACCGAGACTGGGGCAGTTTGGCAACTTCTGTGGTGATCTATTCACAGAAAAAGAAAAACATAACAGTTGACTTACTCACCCAAGAGGACAATCAAGGTCTTGTATGTGTAATTGTTCACACATAATATACATTATATCAGAAAATAATCATACTGCAATGAGCTATCCCCATATGTAGTATAAATTTAGAAATTTGAATTCTTATTATAACACTACTAAAATGTCACCATTCTCTTATCTTAAAACATTTCATGGGAAAATTTCACTACAAATATTGCTTATGCGTAATTACTTATAACTGAGCAACTCATGATATTGTACCTGGTGTGTATTGGTGTGGCAAACAATGAGAGAAATGTGAGTGACATCTTGTGATTTACCTCATTCATGATGCTGATGAGTGCACTACCCATCATACCATTGCGCATCTCTTTGATCTTGTTGATAACATCCTGACATTTCTGTATCTCCTTCAGAATCACACTGATTTCTGTACCGGTGTAGATTTGCTCCTGTTGTAATACAGTGAAAACATACAGAAACGTGTATGTTTGAAACGACAGTTGACCAAGTTCTTAACAAGTGATTAATGGTAGAGATGATCATAATAGCGACTTTTTGTAAAAAAGAAAATATTTGCACAGTCTTTACATTTTATGGCCTCTCACATAGCACCAAAATTTGGAATCCCACAGACTGTTTCCTGGGTCTGCTACTGTATTGCATGTATCATCAAACTGTGACATTTTGTACACTGTGACTTCAACGACAGACAGTTAAATTGGCTAATGTTGTGATAATGTATATATATGTACACCTACCTCACAGCTTGCAGTATAGCAATGGTAACTTCCTCCAGATGCATCTGATAGGTGCCTCAGAGTAATCTGTCACACAGAAAATTTAGTACAATGTAAATAATAACCTTTGTATTTAGTATACTGGCTAATAAAAATATCTGCTTTCTAACCATTATCAACAAATCGTCTAATTCCGGTCTCTTATTCATGACAGTTATACAATATAATTCTGTGCTTATCTTAAACATTTTAAGACAATTTTCAAAGAAGCACTGTAAACAGTTTAAGACAAGATATCTCTCCTATATAAACCCTTTAAAAGTATTTGCTGAAATAATTTTTTTGCCTACATACATGTACCTACCCCAAAATATTTGTATTTTATTTTTTTGTCTGGACTAACTAAAGTATTAAACTCCTTATCTTGCCAATACTATCTACAGATTTATCAATTTCTTTTATATGTAAATTAGCAAGTTTGTAATTCCATGTAAGACAAGGGATATTTCATTCCTTCAGCTGAAGAGTATACATCTTGGTAATAATACCAAAATTTAAAGAAAGAGATATTTTAAATACAATAATTTCCATGTCCATATATGGCTATGTAGTACTTACATTAGTAAGATGGTTACTGCAGTCATAGGCCACTGTCTGGAGAGGTCTCTCCTCACCAACGCCCATCTGATGGATATAGTCACACAATATCTCCGAACTTTGGTCTGGTCTGAAGGAAAAACACCATGTACATTGCTTAGACTGTAGTAGTATCAATATTCCTACACTTTTACCTGATTTACAGATAGAATGACATGGTGATGTGTCATTATGTATATAACAGTGTTGGACAAGAATTAAATTTACTTCAAGTTGTGGTCGGCTATGTATTTTATTTGTCTATTACTGTATGACATCTTTCAGACTTCAACAAAGTTTGCTATGTAAGGTACACATAGATATTACATAGATGTATATACCATTGCTGAAGTGTTGTATATACTGACTTTTTATCAGACTGGAAGAAGATTACACAACAACTATACAGATGTACAGATGGTACAGTCAGCTATATTCCCTCGCCTTTTAATCATCTCCACTTATTTTGCCAATATTAAACCTGCAACATTATAGCTAACAGTAACTCCCTGGATTTTTTTTTAAAACTGAAGATAAACTTAATAAAATCTTTACTCATCTGAATCTTCCAACAATATAAATTAATTTTTAACTTCTCAACAGTCTCATTCTCTCTATTGTTAACATAAAATTGATTCAAACTTACACACTGCCGAGAATGATAACAACAGAGTCAATATCCTGGATATTCATCACATGTTTCATGGCCTTCAGTAGATTACAGCCACCTGATGCCTTCATTCTCATCACCCATTCCTTGGCCTCCTCAATACTGTCAGTAACAAAGACAACACATATCAGGTCTGCTGAAAGTTGTTGTTTTACCTCATGTCTTATTATAAACTTCAAATTCTACGAAACATCAGGTCTTGTATTTATGACATCATGGGTCTGTCAGACCTTCTACATTGTAGACTTTTTTTATATGATTAATTTAAGTCAAACATACTATTAGAGGTATAATATGACCTCTGGATCAGGGTTGTTACACTAATGTTACATGCGTTTAGCATCTTGGGATACTTACATCCTACAATTGACATCACGTGAGACTGGCCAAAGAGGATCAATATCAGTACCAAATGACATCAGGTAAATCGCTGTCCTTGTGGAAAGCTGCTCATCCAACATGTGCTGAGAAAGAACCAAACATCAGGTAATATCAGTATAAGATAGGTAAGAAATTTAGAAAATAACAATACATAACAGGAGTAACAAATCACATAGTTACAAGAAAGTAATAAAATAACAAGGATGAGTAGAACAAGTAACAAAGAACAGGTAAGAAGATAAAAAGTAACAATTCTGAAAGTAATATTTAAGAAAGTGACAGATGATTTTGGAGACATATATAACAACTAACATTTCTGAAGGTATAATAGTATATATCAAATAAATACTTTAAAGTGATCAATAACATCACAACAATTGTTACTGTCACAAATAATATCCACCCTGCAGTAAATCACTCGTCAGTATTCAAGTGACTTTCCTCTTACTTAGTCACTTACAATCATAGATTCCTGGAAAGTTGTCAATCTTCCGAATCCAGCATTGGCATCTGAGTTGTCCACCAAGACTGCAACACGCTTTCCTCTAATGTTACCAAACACCTACAAATTAAGAGCAGGCGATTGTCAATTTAATGAAAAGATTACCACATCAGCAGAAATTTCTTTTCATAAATCATCTTGATATTTAAAGCTTTTTCAGTATACATGAAATAAAATTAATGGTCACTTCCAGATTTAAAGCTAGTAAGATGGTTAAATTTTAGTTCTAAGCAATTCCAATAGCTGTTCAGATTAATTTTTAAGTCTTTTATGGTTGTTACTTGTACATCCAAACCTGGCAGGCTGTTCCACACATCAACAATTCTGGGTCCAAAAGAGTATTTGCTGATATCCAGTACATGTGAAGTCTCAAAGTGATTAGGCCATCAAAACATAACCTAGTGAAAATTTGTCAATGGCCATATCTGCTACATAATGTTCCTACATGTAGTCCTACATTGCTTACCCTTTTACTTCCTTGTAGGAGCCACTTTATTCGTTTTGTGTACATCTCTATGGACCTGAAAAAGAAAAAAAAGAAAAAGAAAAGTAATATATTCTTCTAATTATCAGATTATCTCTATAAAACATATCATACAGAATAGTATTGACAGAAATCAATCATAAGAAGTCAAATTTGTGTGGAAAACATGTAATTTGGTAATATAATTTTTTTGCCTTGACAATAAAGCAAAAGACCAAATTGTAAGGTATACTCACGTGTTAAGACGATACTCAAATTCATTGACATCATAGGCCTCAAACTGTATATGTTGTGATGGCTTCCCAGTCCTGTGGTCTGGCTGTAAACTGCAGAATATATATTTCCATTAAAACACTGTCCATTTAAAACAAGAAAAAGTGAAGTTAAAGTTTTCTGTTTTCGTTTTTTTTATTTGTTTGTTTGTTTGATTTTTGTTTTGTTTTATTTTTAAGATACCAAATTATATTGATTTGAATTGGAAGATTTCACAAAAATAACGCAACAGATTGGGAGCCACCAGAGATACCAGACGACATACTAAACAGCATGCTCATCATCACATGTGAAAGTATATAGATCTACCTTTATTTAACTAGACAGGAAAAAAGGTATTGTTGTGTAACATATACCATAATTTATCATCAATTTTATTACACACTTTCTTTAGTGATGATAGTAGCACAATGTATTGAGTTTATATTATGATTTGCAGTTTTTGATAAGAGGGAAGAAATAGTGACAAACAATCAATCTCCTCTGTGTGGTGTGGTAGACTGAGAAATATCAGAATTTATCATAAGATTTTATGTTATGTTGAATGCTTGGACCCTTTAAAATATATTTGTTAGTTGAGATCATTCAAGCTGAAAATTCTTAAGAATCCTCAATGGCATGGTGTAAGAGAATATACTGTGTGTTGTCCACAATGCTGTGTTATGTGCAATTCATCTCGATTGTAAACATATTGAGTTGGGAGAGTGTTTTTAATTCTCCTCAGAATTATTGGTCTAATTAAGAGGATTAACTGCAATGTGTTAGGTACTACATAACATTATCATGAATGTTGAGACAAGAATTCCTTACTTCCCAACTTTTCCTTTGTCCACCAGGTCCTTGAGTGTGAGTTGTAGATATTCAAGGCTGTGAAACTTCAGCCATTCCTCTGATGTCTGAAGCTCAGAGGCAGTAACTGACTCAGCATTTTTGAGGCCCTATAAAACAAACAGAATTCAGTGGAAACTATATGATAATTAGCAACAATATGTACAATAACTTAATACTTGACCCCACCCACCCATTTTTTTAGCTGACTTTAATTTTTTAGCAGTTTGGTAAGAGCTTGTCTCATTTAAACTCAGACCTGTAAGTATATGTGACTCTCCATTGTAAACAATATATAGTGAACATCTATTTCTGTCGAAGATCTTTCTTTGAAAAAAATGTTTTAGTAAAGAGTGTAAAACAGCTCACCATCAAGTCAATTGTTTGATTAACATGAGTGACAGTCAAGGGATGTGGAGGTCTGGCATTCTTCACCACAACAGGCTGCCATGGAATCAAACCACTGGAACTAACAGATTGGTTGACAACTCAATAAGTTTGTATTCTAACTAATCACACTTCAAAACCTGTATTTATATGTGTTTAAGCATTACCCATCTTTCATTGTGAATTTCTTTGTCAAATAATATGAAGTGAGAGATTGACTGCAAAGAGATAAACTATATATAGAAGGAAGCTAGATCCCATACACGAGGTAATGGCAAGAAAGAAATGCTATGTACTGCCAACTAAGACTGAAAGAGTCAGGTATCTGATTATCCTATAATTATAATATGTATTCAAAATAAAGGGTTAAATATGTGATAAAATGATAAAACCTACCGTGAATCTTCACCAAGAAGTTCATCAATATCCTCATCATCGTCATCCAAATCCCCTTCATCATCATCATCATCATCATCATCATCATCATCATTAATAATTCCAAGCTCCTGATCAACATCAGATATCACCTCTTTCTCATCTTTTTCTTTGAAATTTTCCTCCCTAAAATATGATGAAAGATTACTAATATATTTACACAGCGTATGAAGTACGCATACAAGTATACATATGCGAGCAATCAAGTATATCATTTGTAACGATCCCTGTTATATACAACTGAACATCTGATATAGTGCTGTACGTAAGGTACATATTAATTAAGTTGTCACTGTGGTAGGTGTGGTGCGGACGTTGATCATTGTTTTGTGCACGATGGGCGTATATTGTGTGATATCATGTTGTGTGTATCATGATATCATGTTGTGTATATCAAAGACAAATGCCCTAAGTTGAGTCTTGCTAGAAACACGGACTTAAATATACAGTCAAGCAAACGATAAACTGATCAATCGGTGACTAGGATGGAAAAACCGACACAATAGTAAATATGACAACGATATGAATATATTCTGTTTAGTCACTCTTAGTATGAAAATGGCTTACTCCGATTCCTCAATAACAGGATCGATGTAAGGTTGTCTTCTTCCAAATATGCTTTCCATTTTTGTGGTTTTCAGAGGCTATCAAGAACTACGGCCATTGTTGTTTTCGTGTTGCCAATACTGCGGTAGCGCCGCACTGACAAAATTTGGCCACGGTGATTGGTTGAAATTGGGAGCACTTGTTTTATTGGCGCTCATTTCAAATGTCTGTATTAAAGTTAGGTATACCAGAACAAAATATTGAATTAATAACTTTTAGATCTAATCGGAAATGTATTCATACACAATTCCATTCGTAACAATATATACTTAAGTCATATATTATGAATGCATCAATCAGACCTCGGACTTCAATAATTAAACACCCGATACTATTTTAAAATTTGTTTAATATGAATTATTTTCATTTATAATTACATAGATATACATATAACATAGTTGTAAAAATCACATTTGAATTGGATTCAGAAATAAATTTTGAAACTTCTATAAATTTGTCTCCGTTAGTGATATATACATTAATTTGTAGGACGTCATGAAACGGAAAAAAATGCATGAATAGAATACTTTTTGTTTTTGTGAAAAATAGCTTAGAAAGATAGGAAAGAAAAGAAGTGAAGATACCGTGTCCAATCACCGCATCGCGGTGACCAAAATGTATACATAGACGTGTACAAATCGAAGCGTGAACACGGACTTAATATCGTTCCAAATATGATCATCCAGCATTAAGCAGGGACAAGGGGAGTCACAGACTCTCGCACATCTACACTGTATGACCAACTGTTAAACAGGTCTATAATCTGCATACCGTCTCGTGTTACTATTTTCGACCTGAGTGTAGTACATAGGTTTGTAGTACAACCGAAAAAGTAGGTCGATTCCTTACCATCTCGTGCAATACCTACGCCAATGTTGGTGTGAAGGTGACCGTGCAGTCATCGAAACGTCTCACGTCTACGTCTATAAAAAAAATTCTGTTCTACACTCTGATGAGCATCAGTAGATGTAAGTGTACGTTTGGTTATTTTTGTTTCATGTATGACAGACAGACAGAAAGACGTGCCTTTTAATACATCAAATGTACATGTGTGTGTGCGCGTGTGTTAGAGTACTATAGAAGAGAGTTAATTTTTCTGATCAGCGCTGGTACAGGTCAGCAATATCAACCATAAGCCCATAATTCGGATCCATACAAAATACGTGATTACACTATATTTTTTTTATCAGTTTACAGCTTGCAGCGGATTCCAACCTCCAGTATGAATACCAACACTCATCGGTACATTCAGTGAGTGTCTTCTGTTTGCGCATGCCGTTTTTATGTTAGTGTAATTCCTGCATCATGTTGTGTGGTGTTTCGAATAACCGTTATGGAACTCCGTCAATTCACTTTTTGCCGCGTTCTAATTCAAGTGCCATTTTAGTGAAAAATCATGAACCATATTAAGAAGATACCGTAGGCTCCCAATAGAACAGTTCATAAGCAAGTTATCATCCGCTAAAAGTATAGCCGGTAGGTGCAGATTGTGGACAACACTATAGGAGTCAAGTTCATTAATCTTTACCAAAAATAGCCATACAAACAAAGTTTGATCTGGGCCTGTTCTACTGGGTAGGGAGTTCCTCTTTTCACTACGTATAACACTAATGACGTCATGTCATTATATTCGCTAAAATATGCCAGATTTTACCGTTAGAGCCAAAGTTTTATAGCTTAAAAGAGGAAGCCATTAAACTAGATGCTGTTAAAGACTTTGCGACCGAAGTGGGTCAGTGTGTTCAATAAAAGAAAAGGATATCATATAATGTCGTTATCTAGTTTTCAGGATGCTAGAATATTTCATTTACTTATTTAGTTATAGTTAATCTGTTTACTGATTTAGTGATAATCCAAACAAGCGAAAACAATTAATTTGATTTGTCATGATTTCTTAGGAAGGACTCTGTAGGAAAGATGACACGAAATATGATATTTGTAAACCTGTCTTTTAAAAGCGATAAGAGATACTGAGGACTAAGATACTTTTGTTATAATTTTGGTATACAACCAATGATTTTTTGAAAGTTATGAGAAAGTTATTCAAATATGATTATATATATATATATATATATATATATATATATATTAATCTAAGGCTATTGTGCGATGAATTAATTGTAGAGCCGAGCAGCTATAATTGTATATATGGAGTTTGTTGTTAATTACGAGTAACAAGTATATCGATGACCTTTTACTTTGCACAGTACATTCGTACTCTACACAGAGCATTCGTAGTCTACACAGAGCATTCGTTGCACACAGTACATTCGTACACACAACCTTCTACACACAGAGCATTCGTAGAACATTCGTACTCTACACAGAACATTCGTACTCTACACAGAGCATTCGTACTCTACACAGAACATTCGTACTCTACACAGAACATTCGTACTCTACACAGAGCATTCGTACTCTACACAGAACATTCGTACTCTACACACAACCTTCGTACTCTACACAGATCATTCGTACGTAACACAGAACATTCGTACGTAACACAGAACATTCGCACTAAACACAGAACATTCGTACTCTACACAGAGCATTCGTACTCTACACAGAGCATTCGTACGTAACACAGAACATTCGCATTCTACACAGAACATTCGCACTCAACACAGAACATTCGTACTCTACACAGAGCATTCGTACTCTACACAGAGCATTCGTACTCTTCACAGAGCATTCGTACTCTACACACAACCTTCGTATTCTACAAAGTTCCTTCGTACTCAACCCAGAGCCTTCGTGTACTATACACGTTCCTGCACTTTCCATAAATACTCAAATACGATTCCTGTGAATTGTTCATGCTTTTAGCTATTTCATTATAGTAATATGTAAAGAAGAAAACAGAGCACATGTAGACGATAACATGATTTATTAAACAATCATATAATTTTAAACATAACATATAATATAAAATTTGACATACACACATGTAATGATCTATTCATGGTACTATGGTCCTTTTAAGCAAGACGAAAAGCTGAATAAATCGCTTTGTCATGTAAACCTGTTTCTGTTTTCTAGTTCAAGTGAGATCGATGAAACTATTGTTCCAAAATACACATTTCTATGCTATCCGAAGCAATCTAGGCCCTATCCATTGTCTCCATTGTGACGCCATATCACAAATAAAGTACATACAAGTTATGACATAGTTGTATGCACACAAATAAAAACTGAATATTAACTGAATAACATTATTACGCGATTAGATCGCTTCAAATCAAAAACTTCTAAACAATTATCTTGCATGTTCTGACGAGAAGAACTTAATTTTACAGCATAAGTACCCTGTTATCAATGCAATGGCACCCATTAAAAGTGTTAATATTTTGAAATAATGCATTGTATATAATACGTGTACATCTTGAAGTAAGAGACAATGATCAGAGAGAAAAAGAGGATATCACATTCGCTTGTATTTATATAAGATTGATTAAACTGAAACATTCTCTCCTAATTTGAGATTTACACCTCAATTTGGTTTCACGAAACCACTGTTTGTTTCTATCCACATATCTGCTATCTCCATGCCAACTATTTTGGCGCCGTTATGACACAGTTCCTATGTCCGTCATGGCTACTTTTTCGTGGCCTTCGCCAGCCACCGGAAGGCGTCCCCGTACCCTTGTTTCTTTAACAGACTACACATAAATAGTTGACACTCACGAAGAGGAGGACGTCCATTCTCTGTTTCGTTATATCCCGTCTCCTGGAAACAAGCAACGATTTGTTCTATCAGACACGGTAAATATTTCTTCATACATGTGATAGCAATATGACAATAGGAGGAGGTGAACTAAAGCTTGTCAGAAACATTAAATTCTTTCGACGACGGCTTAATTCATATGATATGGGATAAGATTGTATAGATATAAGGGGGAGGATAATATCATGTATTGTCCGTCCTCAACTTATGTTTGCGATGTGTTAATACAGGAAAAATAACAATAATAGATATTGTCTGTCCCCAAAAAATGTTATACAATGTGTAAATAACTGTGGAATGGCAGTTACACGTCCTGTCTGTTCTCAACTACTGATTTACCGCTATATAATGTAAATACAAGGAAAATGACAATAACAGGTATTGTCTGTCCTCAGTCATTGTTATACAATGTGTAAATATAGATGAAAATAACAAGTCCTGTCTGCCATCAACTGTGTTATATATAAATACAGGGATGACAACAATAACACATCTTGTCTGTCATTAAGTGTGTTATATATACAGGGATGACAACAATAACAAGTAGAGCTGATTATACCTTATACAGGCGACGTTGTAGGTCAAACGACATGATCAACTCCTCCTTGCCAATAGCTGTTCCTTTGTCAGTCTTGTTGCCAAGTATGAGGATAGGTATTGGAGGGATTTCCGGGTCATCAAGGATCCTCTAAATTGACAAGGGAGATACTTTTACTGATTGGCCACATTTGCAAACAACAGATAAAATCATTACAAAATTTTCGATTTGTGTGATTGTACAGAAACCAACAACTGATGACATTTGTATCAATCATTGTGTTTAAATCTTATGTTCAATTCAAATTGATTTATCAAGTTTGTCTTGTGACAGTTCTGAACGCTGTGTTTCGTGTGTTCTATTGTGTTAATTACCGTGAGTTCGGTTTTGCTTTCCTGAAGTCTCTCCCTGTCCGCCGCATCCACCATATAGACAATTCCATCTACTGCGGGGAAGTAATCCAGCCAAACTCTCCGCACTGTATAAAATAAACCAGTGAATGAATCAGAAACAAAAGGCGAACACTATTGTGTTATCTAGAATAATGCCAACTTTATGAGAAGTGCTGAAATGCACGTACTTTCAAAATGCTTTTACAACCCGTATATCGCGCCTCAAGTGAGCTTTTGAAGAGTTTTCCTCGTACACACACATACTGACATATATATTGATTTCGGAAACTGAAAGAGAATCTCAACAAATGTTTACTCATTTTTTTTCTAACAAAAAATGATTAACTGAAAATGAGCGATCTATAATTACCTTTTTCTTGTTCTAAACATTGTACTCACTTATTGCGTGGCCCCCGAGATCGTATGCTTGTATGGTAAGTCCGCCAATAGTCATTTCTTCACTCCCTAGGACACGATAAATGTCTGTTATATAACTACATGCAAATAGTACCTTACAATATAAATCTTAATACGAATACAAATGTATGATATGATAATAATGTATACTTGTACAATTATACATATTTGTACATAGACAATATTCAAACATATATCACTTACTTTACAGCAAAATTATACAAACTATTTACACTGATGTGATACGTAACTGCCCACATACAGCTGTATATGATTGTATAGACAAGTTGGGATGGAATCGGGATTCGAACCTTGTATCCCTCGTCACCGTTAGTCGTTTGATCCAGTTCCGATACATATAGCACTTGAGAGCGAGCCAGAGGTAATATTTCTGACACACTTTACTAATATCATATGCATTGTTTAATGAATGTAATACTACTTACGTGCCTGACCTGTTGGTGGAAACTGTGCTGCGCGCCCAGTCTTCAACATGTTTAATAAAGTAGATTTCCCGGCGTTGTCCAGGCCAACAATCACAATTTTAGCATTTCTGTTGAACCCTGAAAATACCATAAATACCATAAATAACATAAAAAAACTCGAATTCCAATTAAGATTAATGCGATAGCCATTGATTAGTAGTAACTTTCCGATGCCTAATTATCAGCCCAAATCCAAAACAAAACGCAGTCACATTGAGAGAGAAATAATCTCTGCTAAATAGTATGTTATTACACACTCTAAATATATTCCAGTTGAACTATTTAGAGACAGTACATTGATGCCTTTGTTGAATATTGACAAATAAGTGTGTTCAATCAATTATGTTAATCCGCTGTTATTGAAATAATCATAATAATAATAATACTAATTGAATGCCACAAACAAGCATATAGTCACCTGAACATTGTAATATATATGTATATACAATGAATACTTACCAAAATAATACAGGAGCGAATGTAACCAATCCCACAGAAACATGTTTTACTTGAGAGTGTTGTCCTTTATCGTTCTAGCTTGGTGTGTAAAAATTCTAATGTTTAAATTTTTCACCATCTGACATATTTATATACCCGGGATAACACATCACAACCGACTGCATGGTTTACATTTATTTCATATGGAAGGACGCGGTGACAGCAACGTAACATTCGGCCACGTGGCCAGGGTTAGTTAGAGTTATCTCCCTTACTACGTATTTAACATCGCTGAAACAAATAGAGGCATGCTATACGTAATTATAGTCTGTATAACAAATTACTTGTTAAATTGAACGATTTTATTTCATATATGTCAATATAATTAAAAGAAAAAATAATAAGACTGACATTAATTTATTGTAACAAAAGATCGGCATGCCAGTTCTACACAAACAATTTTATAATAGTATGACACATTTCTAATTATAGAATTCCAAGTCAGCATGCAGACATTCGTGATGTACTGTATCGACGTGTAACACCTTACATCGGCCACGTATCATGTAATTTTCCAAATTTAATACGTGATAATCCTATTCACACCATTGCAGCTTTGGTAGATATAGAACAAGTATCACGTTTCTGTAAACTATCAGGTAAGTACCTATACAATATTATACTGCTTTACAGCAATGTATAGCAGAACGCTTAAGAATTGGTAATTTTCGATATTTTCTGGAATTAAGTAATGACGCATTTTGTTTAAGATGTTATTAAGTGCCAGAGATGATTTAGACATTGTCAAGATAAAGCAATTATTCAAAGAAAAAAGATTGAAAATATTTTGCAATTCAAACCATAAATCTGCACTTTAAAGTGTTAAAATGAATAAATTTGCATAAACATTGCGGCGTAAAGCTGACAGTGTTTTTAAAACGAGCAGTTACCCGCTCCGCATAGTATTCGTTGATGTGTGTCATTACATACTAAAACGTGCAGGGTATCCACTTCATCATTGCTTAAGTACTCCTCTAGGGGGTCACCATTTTAAAGCCATATTTCTAATCAAACCATATGTTATGCCCCTCCCGACCACAGTGTAAATGTGACTTTCCATAAAACTCTGATTTTTCCAGTCATGCTTTCAAACCATTTAATCCTAATATCTTTTAATTCAAGCCTTTACCGTTGGCTTCCCGTCCTTGGAGTCGGGTTATACGTAGGACTTACGTTGAGTGTTATAAGCATAAAATCACAGTATCTCAGTTTTTCAAATTTTGCAATTTACTTATTTCTTCAGAAAAGTTAAGTATGACAGAGCCAGATCTTGGGAACACAACAATACAAGGCAGTACCATGTGCGAGAAATCTAGGCGTCAGCATCCCTCCAACGAATCCCTTAACGGTAAAGGAGGAATTCCGAGGTGTTATACGAGGCAGAAGGCCAACAAAATTCTGAGAGTACTGGGAGTGGTGGCCCTGATAGAAGGATTTCTATGTCTGCTGGCTGCATACGTAGATCAGACATGGGGCGTTCTGCCTACAGATCCTTTGTCCATCTTAGGAGTGGCGTGCATAGTGGCTGGTGTTCTCCTCACTATAGGATCTTTCCTTACCTTTCCCCGTTATCAGGACTTGTCTACCGATCGGTCTTGTCGATCAACGGATGAGATGCTCGGATGTGAATCAGTGTCTCCTCCAAGTTCTGACAATGACCAAGTCATAAGTGACGCGGAGACTCACACAGAAAACAAAAAAGACAGATAAAACGCGTGTGTGGACAGATCGAGACGATAGACGTCTCCAATAGTTTATAAATGTCCCACACCAAGCACACCAAGATCCGACTTTTCACATCACAGAGAAGGAGGTAAAATATAGACAAAAGGACAGACAACTAACGAAGGCTTGCTAAATGCGCCTGAATTGTTAAGATGTAACTCCCGTGTATTGTAAATGGTATTGAACAGTGATTTGTGCTTACATGGATGTGCGTCATTTTGCGATATGAAGTTTTCTGAATTGTCAATGAGTTGTTAAATAGGTTTTCGTAGTTCTCATCCCTTTGTGTGTGATAACGATATTTTGTATGTTTAATTTGAGGCGGATGCCGTAGGTTCTCCGTAATCACAGTAAGACAAGTCAGGGAGTAAAAGATGTTTGCACACATTTAAATTTTCATGAAATATAGTTTTAAGTTGTAAGATTGTAGTCAACATTAAAACTATGAATTGTGGTTGTCTTGTCAACACATCAATACTGAAGGTTTGCCCGTCAATTTATATGGAAATCGCCGATGTCTTTGTAATACATTTGTAATAATTTGTAGTAAGAAATGTATTCATGTTAGCATGATCTCAGTCAGGGGGGTATTTTGTTATGTTAAAACAATTAAAGTCTTACATAGTATTCTGTAATACTGGAACAACAGTGTTTGAGGGTATTCTGTAATACTGAAACAACAGTGTTTGAGGGTATTCTGTAATACTGAAACAACAGTGTTTGAGGGTATTCTGTAATACTGAAACAACAGTGTTTGAGGGTATTCTGTAATACTGGATCGTGATGATAAGTGGATGACAATATCTGTATCATATATTATGACTCATATTATCTTATTACATCATATAACTTCCCTGTCATCAATGTAATAACACATATTGCATTCAATTTTTATGGCACACATGTAATAAAAAGATAAATATGTGAGAATATCGTTGATTTGGGTTTTTTAATCAGTTTTATAAAATTATGTTTCAACGAATGTTTGTAAGTATCCAATTTTTGTGAAAAGCACAATCCTTTCCATTATACAATAGATTCAGGATACTCGACATGCTTGTTTTAATATTACCTTACTAGCTTTAAAATCTGACCTTCCTAGTTTTAAAATTTGACCCCGCTAGTGGTTGATAAAATGTAAAACGCTCAGGCTCATAAGTATTGTATAGTTTGCAGTTTATTTTCCGTCACCTTTTGCAACTTTATTCTTAAGTTAACGTTTTACTGATAAAGATGAATCAACATCGACAAAGAAATATGATAATATTATATCCCAAATAATTAAAACTATTTTAGAAGGAGTTAAATCTACTTATGGTCCATTACAATAGCTATACACTTTTGAATAAAGGATACAAAGTTTATGCACTCTTTTTATGAAAAAAGCGAAAAACAATTTGAAAAACGTCGCCTGTAACACAACCATTTTAAGACTACGTAAATAAGGAAAGTTCAGTACATTATTTCAGCTAAAAATCAATGTTACTGTCAATAGCTTCATGACTTGTTACCCATGAAACAAACAACAAACAAACCTTGCTAAAAATGTGAAGTCCAATACACTCATTTGAGCCACATAGATATAAACATATTGTTCAGTGTATTGTTAATGCAATTCTTATCAGCGCTTCAACTTTTATGATAGCCAAAATCTTCTAGAAGGTAGCGATCCAGAACTGCCTGAAACAACTCTCTGGAAACATTTTGCTTGTTGTAGGATTATCACACAGACCAACACATGCGAGCAAATAGCAAAAGGCTGACACGATATGAAGAGCCTAAGTACAGCAGCAGGCATACATCGACATTTGTAAAATTAATTTCGACATCCCGATTTCTTCTATGATTACTGAATATAATGAGCTGTTTTTAAAAACCTGATACCAAATATACTTTTACAAAATTATTTTTAAACAATACTGATCCCACTCCCAAAAAGTCGTAACACAATACAGCGATAGTGTGTCCAGTGATATTGTCAGGGTATGATATGTGATCATAAAGTTTCAATATTGTTTTAAATAACTTAACAAGCACTATGGATTATGATAGAAACTCAGATAGCAGTTATTGTCTCATCAGCTGTAATTTTTATATAACAGAGAAATCGATGCTAACTGTCCTTGGTGAAAGAATCGTAGGATCACGAGGTTCAATTCTCGCGCCTCGAATCGAGTTTCTAAGACTAATTCGTTTCCTCCTAAAACGTTCTTGTGTATATTCCGTAACACAGGAATTAGCTAGGAATAAATTCTCGTCTGGATATTCGATGTCAACAGTATCTGCACGACGTGGATAATACGTCACACGAGGCCATGGTAACGTCGACACGCCCACTCTGCGTGTTGTCCATGGTGCCATGATCTCTACCACGGTATCTCGAAAGACTGAGTTGGTGAAAGCGTAAATGAACGGATTATAAGCACAGGAGGCTTTGGCGAGTAAGGTAGGTAGTGCCGCAACGGAGCTATCAAAGTTGAAACTAGAAATAACCATTGTTGACATGACTGCGTATGGAGTCCAAGCAACCATGAATGCCGTCATCATCAGGAAGCTGATCTGTAACAGAGTTGATGGGATGAATTTGAAAAAAAATAAAATAAAATGGAACTGCACTGTAGTTTTAAGTAGAGTTCACAATTATTTTGTTGACATTTCAAGAATAAAAACAAAATAAGCAGGGGTTCACATAGATATGGAGAACATGTAAAATGGCGCTCCAAGGGATTACGATAATATATATTTTACCTTGACAATGGACAAAGGATTAGAACAGTTAGCTTCGTGACGTTCAATGTAGAACAAAATCATTCAGTATTCTCATCTACAAGTTCTTCGCGCATTAAATTGTTTTTGTAGTCACCAGTAAAACGTATATAAATACTTACAAACGTCACGCGTCCTTCAAGGTCTTGTATGTAACGGGGTGTGTATCCTTGACGAGTGCGACTTCCGTTTTTTCTGGAATCGCTACATAACTTCGCCCTCAGTATCATTCCATAGGAAAATACAATAACGCTCAGGGGAAACAGGTATACTGCCAGGATCAAGGCTACATTGTAAGTGAAGTCACTAATATCTCGACCATACCAGTTGACACTACAGGACACGGGTACAACTTCCACGACGTAGGATGACCAGCCCAAGAGTGGAGACAAAGTCCAAAACAAGGCAAACAGCCAGATTGAGAAAAGCATCTGTAATACTGTCATTTCCGTTATTTTTTTACCTAAAATATGTCAAGCACTATGTGTTTACACTGTGTCAACGTGCTCCCAGTATCCCTATAGATATAAATAATATAGTATACCATGCTTTCGTTTTCTTTCAGTTAAACAGATGTACATTGTTTATTCATTACTTGATTACTTTGACATCAATTTTGAATTGTAATACTTTATACTTTTCTTTAATTATCAAAAGGTTTTTCATATCAGCTACATACAAAACTTACGCATCGGTATTAATGATTGTTCTTCCTACAGTTACCCAGTAATTAATTGATATCCTAGTGCCGTAATGATACTTACGGTAACCATACTGGCAGATAATGATATACCGGCACAAGGCGAGCGCTGCGTGGGTCATGATGCTGCTCACGGCCGAGTTGAAACAAATAAATGCATATATCTTGCAGCCTATTGTTTTGAATATCCACCTGCCAATTAAGTCAAGGAAATGTTGTGTAACCAAATAATCGATGAAAAGAAATATTTTTATGTTAACATATACATTATCAAAACAACACGGAAAAAGATCAATGATGGAAGAGTAGTCTTGATACAAAAAATTGTAAATCACTAGGTTCAAGCAATAACAGACAACTGATATCTACAACAGATGTCAACAAGCCAAGATATTTAAACAGGTTTGGTTATTTCATAACTAGCAGATCTAACATAAAGACAGCTTTTATGAAGTGATGACATTTGGCTATGTGAACTGTTTGAATGCAGACTTAAGTTAGCTAAATTTAAATCAATACATCACCTCTGAAGTGACAATCAATACAGTGTATAATGTTTGATAGTTGTCAGCACATGTACTGAGATAAATGTATCCGCTTTGAATGACATACAAGAGGCCCTCGGACCTTATCGGTCCAAAGCAGTACTGTATTCTTGATTTCAGTTTCTCAACATTCCAACATAATTTCAGATTAATGGCACCAGTAGAACTGAAAGGTATGAACCGTTTATTTCGCGATGGCGGTTATGGCGGCGATATCAGATTTCAAACCAACTCGAAAAATAACAACACTAGGTCTGGGTCATCTCATGATCGTTTCAGACAACTTGGAGCTGCAGCAAGGAAGTTTAAAATGGGGATGCTCGACAAAAAACCTTAATAAAGTTCATTCGAATGTACCGTACCTTAAGATCATCATAAATTTTCAACATAGTTGATTCAGTCGAAGTGGAGAATCGAGAAGTCAAAATATGGAAAGAGGTTGGCCATGATGTCAATATTTTATTTTGTGTAGACCATTTCAAGATAATATTAGGTAACTTTAAGCTGAATCCTACCACTGCTGATTGTAGGTCACCCTGGATCTTCTTGTGGAATTTTTTATATACATGCACGTGTCCTCTAACTACGTAATCTATGTCATCTCTTGGTATTTTGTAATCACGTGTAGCTCTCCAACCATCTGTAAGAACCGTTTCTCCAAGTCTTAAAGTTAACAATTATAATGTAACAGTATAACAATACTATTAGTTGTGACCACGTGGTATATCTAATCGTGCCTTTTGTCTGTAAGTTTTACCTGTTGGAGAACGCTGAAACGGCGGTCATGGGATAACCAAGCAGGGAAACAATGAGGTCACTCACTGCCAGATTTAATACAAAGAAGTTGATTGGACGTCTGACGGACCTTTTTTTCGCGAAAACGATGATAATGAGAAGGTTACCAGCTACACCCAATACACCTGCAAAACAGAGAGGAACTGTCTGGAAACAATTAACAGCACGCATACAATTAAGTGTCAACTTGTAATTACCGATCTTTTAAGAAAATCAGTATATGAAAGCTAATATGATTAACATAATCATTGCAAACATACATTGCATGGTTGAAATTTAGATTACCATATATGACAAAGCCAGTATTGATTTTATCTGTTTTATTAAACATTATCACTCGGTGCGCAGTAATAAAACTAATCCATGTTAGAAATCACTTTCTGGCTGGCCAATTCAGAGGACAAATGGATTTCATGCCACACCCATTTTTAAAATGTATAGTATCGACAAAAATGACTGAAATACAGTAAAACAGTTGTAGGTTTGTTTTCGTTAATAACGCCAAATCTAATTAAATTAACGTAACTTCTAAAATAGTTAATATAAATCAATTTACTTTTCGAAACAACGTATACAGGGTATAGAAATTTACAATTTAAAAATTCACTATGCATTTAAATCAGGACATGAACTATGTTTTCTAGCAATGAGCTATTTCATCATCGAATGCTGTTTATTTATTTTAATGTTAATTGCTTTTCAATCATTGTTTTATTGAACACCAAACATAAGATTCGAATACCAAACATAATTCATAACACATTATTACACAATTCAATTCATTCTCGTTTAGTTATATACATGACTAAATAATTTCATTAGGCTTTCATTAAAGTGTTGTTAACATGTATTTGTATAATAACATAGCTACGTGAATTAATAGATAACTTATGCTTATCTCCCGCTCCATTCAACCCTCTTATCCTGGTATCAAAGCCCATTATAGTACACGTGATTTATCGGGAGAGAAACAGGCTTCTTAGAACTGAATGGTTCAATGATTTATCTAATGACATTTGACTTCATTATCTTAGTTCAAAAATGTTTCTCAATCTCGAAAATTAATATGAAAAGTTCTACCATCTGCATGTATCCTTCATCTTAAATGGCTTAAAACACTTATATACATATGTTAGTGCTCTATTGCTTTTAGCATTTTCATGAACTTAGCTGGAGTAAATGATCAGAACTTTGAATAGATGATTTATAAACTCCTAACAAAGAGTGAAGCTTCACATATAATGTCTTATGTAGATTCTAGAAGTGTTGGGACTGTACCTACCCTTTTGCAAAAGTTACTTATAATAAATAAACATCATTTATTCTATTCCTTCCATCCATCTATATATTATGCTATCATTTTTCGAATTCTACACGTATACTCCGTTTTCCATTTAAATGTATCAAACCGGTTAACTTTCTTTTTCTTTCTTTCGTTTCTTTTTTTATGCTCCTTATAATATATTTTTTAATATAGCAATCCTCTGCACTGTTTTATACGTAAACCTGATTATTTTTGCCTTGAATACTTTATTTTGCTTTTTGCCAGACAGAGGTGAATACTGTTGATAATCTTCTAAATCGTTACATGCGCTGCATAGGTCGTTGCCAGCTATTTTGGTTCCTCTAGATACTTATCTTGATGGCAATATGTACTTAAATAAGTTTTTGAATATCTTATGTCTGATATCTATTTGTAAAGCTACATGCGGATTATTTCCGTCCTCCAATCTACACTTTGTAAGTAATCGATTCATGTCTTCATTTTTTTTCTAAGGGTTTTCTTGGATCGCTTTACTATCTATATCTTTATTATTCAATTTTCCTTTTCTTTTTATGATTCTGTAATATTTAACCCACCCAGTTGTGTTTATTTTCGAATTTATATATAAGATATAGCTAATTTGTTTTCATCTTTTTTCAACATGTCATTTTTAACAATTTTATCTTCTACAAGACAAGATATTCCCCAATGTTTTATCATTAATTCTCATATCTTAACATGCAAAACGGTTAGTTTTCTTTTCAGACGTAGTAATCGTTTCATTAAAACAAACATACTTTTTAGTATTAAACATTTCTTGTTGTAATATTCATACATCAACTGCCTGCCTATTACTGTTAATCATTTTACAGGTCTATGTCACCCTCATAGCATTTATTTGTGATGCGATTTTCGTTTACTGTTACCTGCCTTTTTGTTTGTATCATTACATCTCGTTTCAATTATTCCTTTCCTTCTCATCAGAAGCTATATATCAGACATTGTAGTACCTTCACCTGTTCTGTACTTCTTACCTTTGTTCAAGCTATATCTCTCTCTCATTTCTACTCGTATAATACTGGTCTTTTGAGGTCACGAAATGTAGTAAAAACAAGAGATCACAAAACGTCGTAAAACCCGTGGCTTTGCCGAGCTTTGCCGAGTTTTGCCATATTTTGCCGTCTTGCCGGTGTAAGATAGATATGTCTTATCCTCAACTGAAGTGTTTTTATTTCTGTACGTTGGGGTAGATAGTATATCCCACCCATGGGGACACAGAATGTGGTGAAACCAGCGGCTGTGGGGTAGAAAGGATATTCCACCAGGGGTCACAGAAGGTAGTGAAACCCTAGGCGGTGGGGTAGAAAGGATATTCCACCAGAGGGGTCATGAAATATGGTGAAACCCTCGGCTGTAGGGCAGAAAAAATATTTAACCCGAGAGGTCACAAAACTTTGTAAATCCGAGGCTTTGTTTAATCTATCTTTTCAAATGTTTTAGAAAAATCTAAAAGAAACACGCGTCTATAATGAATTGTTCAGCATAGTCAATATCTTGTATTTGTCTAACATCCGACAAACTCCTAAGGAATGTATCAATTCTTGTCCAAGTTAATAACTTTACTCACAACAATTTTTAATACTGATGCTAAGACATAGACAGTTATTTTATGATCTATATTTAGTAGAGACTTAAAACTTTTGCCAATTTCTTTGTTGAAAGATCAATCCTAATTTGTATGAATAAGTAATTTCCCTTTGTCATAGCTTTCATTCCATAGTAAAGGACCCGATTTCTATAAGTTACCACATTTAACCCATTTCCTGAACTTCTGTTCTTGCTAAGTATTTCTATGTTCTTGAGATGCTCATCTAGCTCAGTTTTGGTTGGCTTAGGTTTCATAGAATTTCATACAAAAATTATGTATTCGTTTTGACAGTTCATTTGCCTTTGTAATTTGTCCATTTCTTGCTCTATTGCATGAATATTTTTCATTTGTTACCTGCTGTTTCCTAGTCACAAGAAAAAATATATATTCGTTTTCTTCTATTCACTTCAATCTGAAACTAATATGTATACTTTTATGTGAAGATTCGTTTCTTTTTCTTTTTCTATCTGTTCTCATTTGACGTTTTTAAATAAAGACAATTCTTGTGTTTACGGGTTTTTATTTGATGTTTTTACAAAATGTTATTTAGTTGTTCTTTTCTTTCTTTCCTTGTGTACATATTTATGATGGCGGCATATGTATAAACATCTATGATGGCAACACAGGTGTACATATCTATGATGGTGACACAGATGTACACATCTATGATGGCGACACAGGTGTACATATATATGATGGTGACACAGGTGTACGTTTATATGATGGCGACACATGTGTACATTTATAAGATGGCGGTAACTGGAGATGTTTTGGGATTGGCTGGATTTTTAAAACCTAAATTATAAACAATACTATGAGATACAGCTTATAAAATATCTTTAAATCCCGAAAATATCTTCAAATTGTCTTTTTTTATATGTTGCGTCCAGCTCTTCGCTGTTGTCTTTTCAAACAGAATAATATGTTTTTATATTGATTTACTAAATGGTAGAACGATCATTGGTTAACCATAGCAAAACGTTAGGTGTAATCTGTATCATCGCCTCCATTTGATAATGTCAGGATTAAAGGATAACGATAAAACGGATAACGGGTTGTATGATGGGAAAAAAGTATTATGGTGACCATCCTATGAATATAATACAAACAAAAAGGAATTATACACCAAACGAAATATAAGTAAAGTGTAACGGTATTTTGATATAAGCATAATTACGAGAGACAGACTCTTCACGGCTTAATCTACTGGCTGTCTACCGATAAATTCAACTCAACAGTTTGATTTCAATATTATTTCAATCACAATGATCGCGTTGCCCTGCTTTCATTGGTTTCGCTTTAGCAAATCTTTCTTTTTCTAAAAAAAAAGAAAAAATAATAATAATAAAACATGCAGACATCAGACAAGAAAACAAATAGATATAATATATAGAGATAATTATTTATCAGTAGATCTGAGTATATATATATATTAAATAATAACCAACTATTTACCACGGCAAAATGAAAGCATTAAGGTAGAGTTACGAAATGCGACGAACAATATCTTGTTAGCCTACAACTGCAGCCGTGTTTACACTAAATGTGATATATTGTTCTCCATAACGATCTTTTGCAACATTCCATCTACAATTACAGAGTCGTAAGCCTTGGCGTGTTGTGAGGACGTAAATAGTTACAACCGAATACATAGATTTACATTATATGTCAAACTAACGATCATTTCATACAAATGCATTGGATAATCTGACTTTAAAACAGAATTATTAACGTAACTAGATTGAAATGTTTATGATTGATATTTAGAATGATGTAACTTGTTTCCACTTCTTTGTGACCGCGAAATGCATCTTTAACAGAAAAAATGAGCAGTACTATACTTGTTGAAATATATTTGCATATCAATATTTTAAGTATCCTGAATGTTGTGCAACTTTACTGGACATATTTTAAGTATACAAATGCGCAACAGCAATAAAAATAGATAAATGTGCAGCGTTTATTGTTTCTGTTGAACTGGTTTGAGTAAAACTTACAACAGATAGAAATGAAGATGCCTATGAGTTGAAATCCGACTGGCTGTATATCGAGGATGTACTCTTCCCTGCTTCCATTAGATGCATTCATTTTCTCCGTAGGGTCGAATCTGCTTTTGGAATGGTTAGCGTAACCTGGCAATGGCAAGAAAAATATCCAGTTCGCTGGCAATAACTTGTTAGTAGTTGAGTAAATAACACTCTCCCATGTAATTATAAAATCAATCGGAACAATGAAACTGAATAATTAGAAGGCTTATTCTACATCTTCAGGCGTTCAGGCTTCATGGATAGAGCACATTATTGCTATATGTTAACAATTTGCATTAGTATGTAAAGTCTAACACTTTCCTACCTCACGTACAAGGCGTTTAGCAGTCTTCTCAAATCTCTGTAAGATGATGTGCATACTTAGAATGATGTGGTGATATCATGCTCTTGTATGATTTGTTTCGTACATAAAATAATGATGTGTGTGAACAAAACAGCTGAACGAGGCAGTATAATTAATTGTTTATGCAGCTTAATTTTTTTTGTTTGGCTCAAAGGTACTTATTCGGCACTCAATATGTCATATCAATGCCTATAGGTACCTTTTGGACTGTTTTAAACTCATTGCCTTAGTTGTCCCTCAACTGTTATGAATAGCAACCCGTAAATTTTATATTGGTGCGTGTGCATAATTATGTTGTTCCTGAAAGCCGTCCTTCCGTGTTATGGTAATTACAGCGTGTACGTTTGTAATGCATTCATATAAGGTTGTCAACTCTGATTCGGTCACCCATCAAGTTGATCCCTTTGTAAAATATTCAAGAGTTGGAACATTATCTCGTAACCTAGACTGACCCTCGATGAGTACAACATTGCTTATTACGTTAAAGCAAATTACTGAGGTAAAAAAGTAATTTTGTTAAGATGGTTTCAATTGTTAACATCATAAAGAATGCGACTATTAATTCCATTTAAGATGATTTCCAATAGCCGTCATATAACACGTGTACTCTGTGCTGATACTACCTAAAGTACATGTAACATAATAGTGTAAGAGATGTTCCTACTGACTGAAGTATAAACTCCCTACAGTCGGTAATCATATTCCCATGTTGGGAATGTCTATCGCTGTGATTATTAACGGTAGGCTTATATCACTCTTGTTGATCAGGTAGGAAACACCAGTTGGATCTTAGTAAGGGGGAAAGCGAAATACCCATGAAAAATGAAACTTGGACGTCAAGATGAAAGGCGAGTGAGTTATCAATATGCAACCTTACCAACACGCTAATAATGTTTTTACGGTCTGAAGAAGCATCAGCTGGCATCATACCTACATTTGTATAGTTTTGTATAGAATGTCAAGGCTTTCATATATGGTATAGAAAGCAATGAATGAAAAGACATTTTCATTATAAAACAACATTATATCTGAATATGATATTGTCATTATAACATTTGATGTTATCGTAGTAATATGATATCATCATGTTGTGCAATATTGTGATAAGAAGAGCTCTATAAATAAATGCTTATTTGTGTACACCTGGATGTAGGTTATAGATGATGTAGATATCATATGTGTTCCTTGTTATGTTCTTATCGCGATGGATACCTGTGGTTAATTTGTAGCTTCTAGCAGAAGTCCGGGACCATCCAATGACGACCATAACGAAGATACACCTTCCTTAAATAAACAGACGAATCCTTATATGAAAATGCTATAAATTGTTTAAAAAGAGGTTTCCTATATTTTTCCTGAATCACGGACACCATGTGATATCTATTTTCAAAAAAGGGAAACCTAATTCGGCAACTAACTACAGACCTAATTCGTTACTTAGACACATCGGCAAAATTTTCGAATGATTAATCCATAAGCACATTTACAGCTACTTTTTCAGAAATAAATGTAATATGTGACCTACAATCTGGCTTCTTACCAGATCACTTCACGATTAACCAAGTCATCGAACTCTTACATAATATACTTATGTCCAAGGAAAATCGTGAAGTATGCTGCTCTGGATTTTGTGACTATTCCAAACCATTTGAGTATGGAAAAGATATTTTTTTGATCTTGAATAACTTGTTAACTTACACCAATCTAGAAACAATACGGGATAAGAGCCTTTGAGTTGTTAGAATGGATTTTAACTACTCATTAAGTAATAGTTGTCAATCTGTTGTACGTCAATGATATATCAAATTTATTTTTTTCAGTTTCTAGACTTGTCATTGACGACAACGCATTAGACTTTCTTCTCGACAGCACATATATCCCAATCGTTAAAATCTAGGAATCGATATATATATATATGTATATATCCCCCTCCCCCCTCCTCTCTCACTCTCCGTCTAACCCCCCCCCCCCCTCTCTCTCTCTCTCCCCCCTCTCTCTCTCTCTCTCTCTCTACACTTCCAAATTTGATACCATTATGCCAGGGAAGTCTGTGTATCGTTATCGAACAGAATTTTATCCCAGAATAATAGAACAAGACTTTTGACATGAATACTAATACCAGTTAACTGTAAACTCGAACAGTAAGGCCATATCAATATCTGTGAAAAAAAACCACGCCTTTGGACAGACTCGGTGTTCAAACCTATTAAAATTATGCTACCCAACCATCTTATCGATTAAACCATGATATTTGTACTTGTGAAAAAAAGATTTCTCGTGTTATGCTGACTACCGGATCAGCTTCAGACATGAAATGCGACTAATCAGCTGGCAGTGATGTCACTTTCCAAGCTAAGGTGTGTCCACAATTTTCCATGACGAGCAAGGGAACTTTCAGGAAACGCGTTAATAACTGAAATTATTTTTTAAAAAACCCCGTCTTCTTTGCTAATTGATTGGAAGATGCGAAATTATGCATTGGTTTAATACATACCATGCGTCCTTCATTATTTAACAGGACTATATATCTTGTACATAAATAAGTGTATAATGAGATATTCTGTGGTCTTTTGTTTCCATTTTCAATGGTCGGTGAATTATCTAACATTGCATTAATTTAATCCTGAGATGCACGAGATATGCTGAATATTCCCATTGTGAAGGGATAAAAGAATCATCCAAATCGCAGAAACCATTTAAAATTGGCGGGTTTCTCAGACAGTGATCGAAGTCTACACGAAGCATACAGCCAATTCATGTACTATTTCCGTTACTGTGGTATACTGTAAGGATGGCGTCATACAATACATATTCGTTCTGCAATGGTGCCTTACTGGTGATATTCAGTTAACGTATTTGATGCAAGTTATACTTTAGGATAAGGTGAGGAAGATGAAAAAGCTAATTAAGTCCAATACCGCCCTATATCTTCCATACATTACCTCTACAAGTGCCAACTTACTACCGTTGTATTTCATATAAAAATCATACATGTATCAGAACACTGCTCACCAGAAAGTAATCTTATCTTACAGCGTCATGCTATTCCAAAAGCCAACAGTCACGAAAAACTGAGCCTTATTTCATCCGTATTGATTCTCAGGTTTATATGTTGCTTGAGATTATGCTTAGGGTTGTCAATAAAAGGGGGTCCTATGAACGAAACTGCTCTGTAGCTATTGGACACATGTTTAGCCGTTGTCATTCAATAAGTACAGTTTAAACAATATGTATTCAATAACTTCACAAGATTACACATGCATTACATATGTAAAGGTAAAATTAATTTATAAAGGATATTGATTCTTGATTAAAGATCCTATTTTGTCGTCACGTGATTTAGAATGACAGTTTCTTGTCACCTTATGCTTCCTTGACAAGCGAGAAAAATTTCAATTGATAAAAGCTTACAAAATCGTTTCCGATCAGTTTTTAGCGAGATAAACTTTTCAAAGCCTAGTCTGTCTGTCTGCCATATAATAACATACTGAGAATGGCAAGGAAATACATCTTCCTCTCGCATATACTTCTAGTTTTCCTTATTTAAAAGGTTTTACAATCAGCAATATAAAAAATAATGATAATTTAATTCAAATGATAGGCATTTTACGGTATCCGAATAAGTATGGCACAGAATAAAGTATTATCTTGTCATATTGGAAAAAAATTAAAAAGATAAATGGAAACAAAAACAAAAAAACTCACCCCGACATCTCGAACATCTGATGAATTAGAGGCCATTAAGAACAGATGTATGCCAATCGATAAACATTGAATCCAACGAAACTTGATCACGTGGTGCCTAAAGAAAAAAAAAGATTAAAAACAAACACTTCCAAGTGCCGACACCAAAAAAAAGACTGGGTCTCATTTGGCTCCGCGTGCCGGCTGTTGTCTTATTGAGAGTGTTATAGCTGATTTCATGTGGCTGGCTGTTCTATGACTCTAAGAGACGTATCAATCCTTTTCTGAACCACACCATAGCTCATATTTCAATTAACTCGTGGCGTCATGCATTGAACTTCCGGCAAGGGTCGAAACTCGATAATTCAATAGCTATAAAAATCATGATATATTAAAGGAAGCTCCCGATACATCATATTCAGCTAACAAGGCAATTCAGAAATATGCAAACAATGTTTCGATAATTCCATGTAAAAAGGAGTGTGTACGGTAAATAATTACTTAACTATGGTATTGTGATGTTCAGTTCATGTCTTGCATTTGAATGATACAAAACGTTGGTCATATGTGTATATATTTCTTTGCATTATAGACTGTATATCTATGCAAGAGAATGATGTATAAGTAGGCGGTCTTTTATTTAAATTAGTGCAATTAGTCCAAAAGATTTTGCTACTATATTTTTTTTTTAAAAAAGGGGTCAAGAAAATAAATACATTCTCTCAAGTTCGAAATTCCAACAAAATCATCTTTGAAATTTTTCATAAAATGTAGCCGTTTAATATTGAGAAAGAAATATAATATTTCTCAATAAGATCACTATGGCAACCATAAATCTTTCCCATAATTTTCATCAATCAGCATCTTTTGAAACCCTATTCTAAGGCAAGACAATTATTGTTTCTTTATAAATTTCACCACGTTGATTTGGTCTTTGGCAATAACAACCTGACACAGCTTTAAATCGATTTTGAGACCTTTGATAAGAGAGTCAATTGCGGAAAATTGAAAATCTAGTGGCAGGGTTTTCCTGGAAAAATGCATATGATACAACATGGTTAAATGAATGTCATTGGACACAGGATTGTATGAATTACTTCCACACTTCCAATGTTCCTTATCTTATATTATGTGACAAAATTTTAAAAGATGAGTTGGTAAACTAGGATATAAAAGTCCAACTCAATTTAAAGAAATTTATATACTTTGATTATCTTATGATAAAGTGTGGTTCAAAGAATCTTCAAACCAAATCGAGCCAGTTTTAACAATACTCGAATAAATACATCACAGATACGGGCAGATGAAAACCTATGTAGATTCTGAAAATT